ATTTAGAACGCTCTATGGCCAGAGTTGGCAAACGCTCAATGGAGAGATGGCAAACGCTTCAATGGAGAAATGGCAAACGCTCTATGGCTAGAGATGGCAAACGCTCTATGGGAGAGATGGCAACACTCTATGGGAGCGATGGCAAAGACTCTCTAGGAGAGATGACGAACGCTCTATGGGAGGCAGCCAGCACTCACTCAGGTTTATTTGTTAGAGGCTATTAGCAAATAGAGGGGCTTAAAAGACACTCGGCGTTATCCTCATTCTACCGTTACCGAGCTTCACCACTTGTCCTTGGTATACACTTTGCTTTGCATCACGCGTACTTCACGGTCATCAACTTCTGCGCCATTATTTCTTTGTGTATGCGGCTTCTATTTATGTGAGCTTCTTGTTACGATATCAGTAATTTTTATTTTCTACAATGTCAACCATTCCCGGCACCTGCCATTTACTTTTTCTCTGGGATCTTGTTGCTGAAACACTGTAAACCGTGTCTGTGCGCCTTGTGGCCCGGCAGGCGGTGACACTGTCGGGGCACGCCCTGCATGATACCGGTGAAACATATTTCGTAGGACTAGTAGGACTATCAAAACACGCAGACCACATACGCCTTCTTCTTGACAGCTTGACCGTGTCTCTTCAACACCTCTACTTCACATGGTATCTTCTCTGCCATTTTACTTTCCCACCTGCTGATTGAATGGCGAATTACAAGTCTCGTGACGTGTTTTTTTAAGACAGGGGTTTGAGTTCAAAAAATGTAAATACGCCCATATTTTTCAGGCCATTTCGTTTTTTCTCTTCACTCTTTCTTTCCTTCATTTTTCTTTTTCCTTCACTCCCTTGGATCCTCCTGGTCTTTCTCTTGGCTCTTCCCTTGGTTCTGGTCTTTCCCTGGCTTTGGTCTTTCCCTGGCTCTGGTCTTCCCCTGGCTCTGGCTCTTCCCTTGGCTCTGGCTCTTCCCTTGGTCCTGGTCTTGCCTCTGTCGGTCCTGGTCTCAGCCTTTTTCCCGTGGTCCCTGGTTGCCTACAACCGATCCCTGCTTTGGGATGTCTAGTCTGGCATTCAACGGTGTTGGCCACAACCGGTCTTCAGGCGAGACCAGAGGACGGAGAAATCCTTTTCGGTTTTTCGCCATAGAAATATGGTAGTGTCCTTTCGGTTGGATGCCTTGTCTGCTGGTCTGATCTGCCATGGTGGGGCTCGCATGAGGAGCCAGGTGCCACCGTAAATCGCGTTCGACTCTCAGGACTCGACTATCGGCATTCGACTGTCTGGCAATTGACTGTCTGGCGATCAACTCTCTGGCATTCGTCTCTCTGGCATACGTCTCTCGGCATTCGACTCTCGGCATTCGACTCTCGGCATTCGACTCTCTGGCATTCGACTCTCGGCATTCGACTCTCGGCAATCGACGCTCGGCAATCAGCTCCCAGCTTCAGTGTTCGGCTCCCAGCATCGGAGTATCCAGTAAGCAGCTCCTCCAGCATTCGACAACAGCAGCAAATTTTTCTTTTTTTGGGTGTTTCGAGAGTCAATTCTTTCCCCTACCCCCACCCCTTCCCTTTCCTCTTCCCTTTCCTCTTCCCTTCCGTCTACCCTTCCATCTTCCTTCCGTCCTTCCCTCCCTTCCTTCCCTCCCTTCCTTCCCTTCCATCTTCCTTCCGTCCTTCCCTTCCCCCTTCCCCACTCACAGGCAATCCACAACCGATTGCTTGCACTTGACTCTCGAAACGTAGCGTACGTCATGGTTCCCACTCGTTTGTACCATGATGGCTGGGTTTGTGGTTGATTGACCCAGCCAAATGATTGGGAGACTGGGACTCCCAGGCCGAGGCAATTGGTGGTTTTCCCTTCCTCCCCCTTTTACACACTTCTTCTGATTCTTCTTGCTTTCTTCATGCTTTTTGTATAGCCTGCAGGTTGTGCGAACTGCTTGTTGAGGTCACTTTGTAAAATCGCGTTCTTATTATTTGTCTTTATTGTCCACTGATTGTGTTCATTTAATAAATTTGTACTCTTCGACAATTGATATTCATAACGATAACTTCCGTCTTTAATAAAATGTTTCTTTACTCTAATATTACAATGAATAAAAACCTGCTCTTTTACTTTATGTCCTGCTCAAACTCATTTACAATTTCTTTCCTTGTGAAGATATTTGCGTGTCGCTTCACCTTGCAATATCCATTTTCTTTCTGACTGTGTTCAATCGTCTTCGCCGCTTCATTTGACAGTTAGGAAAGAACTCATGTTTTGGCGTGCTATGTCCCTGTTCTTGTACAATGCTGACACAATGTCAAATGGCTCACAATAGATTCGTAATTACTTTTACTTTGCAATGACTTGATCGATTCTAAACATAATATCTAGGCAACTGTTTGACGCAAGCATAATGCACAGACCATGGAATACAATGTCAAATTGTTGTGAAACCCGTTGCGTAGCAATATCAGTACTGGGCACATCAGAAAGATTCTTGCAACAGCAGGATCTCTTTTGGACTTGGAACAAGTTGATCGAGCTTTGTGTGCTTAAACTGTCGTTTCTCATGCACTCTACAGCCAAGACCAAATCTTTTGATACTCATACTCATTAGTAAAAATTGTCTTACAAACGTTTCAAATGGTTTTCTATCAAAGCCTAAATCCACGTGGATGTGCCCATCTGTTTGGGAGATCGCCTGAGATTGAGCTGCCTTTGGAGCGCCGGATATGTCTTCAGGTGGAGGCAGTTCGACACATTTACAGCAACGCTTTCTTTATTACTTTTTCTCCGTGACCTGTTTATCCATACAATTACGATAAAAATAGCTGCCGTGGCATACCTTTCACTTGTCGCCCACATATGACATGGAGCATAATAATGGCCGTATTTAGTTATCCCACGAAAGCTTGGGACAGTACGATATGATGGCTCTCAAGCTTCGCACCACCTTCCAATGTTTTGCCGTATAAGGCTATGTAGGCGATTCTTGCGCTTTGCCTGTAGTAACACACCTTGACTTGTTAACAGCATATCCCTCCTACAGCGTTGCTTCATTGGGTTGCTGCCTACGACTGGCACAACGCGCTTGAACTCGTTCTGGAGGACAGTCAACAAACTAATAATATTTGACAGCAACATTTTATCAACTTTACAGCAGGTTCTGAGCGAGATCCTTGCGATATATCGACAAGGCGAAAGCGCATGTCTTAGTTTTTACAAAAGCATAGACGGCTCAAACCAATTTGCAACTAACGCAATTAATGGATGGCTAAGCTTTTTCCAGAAGATATCCTCTTTACATTTTATTACAACTGTCCGCCAAAGATCTCATACAATTGGCGTTTGCATGTCGATGTCGATTCAGGCAAAATTACACTCTACAACGATGGGACAACGTGGCGCTTTTGTGATGCATAACAACATCGTTTACGGTTTTCTGCACATCAGCTTTATAGATGGCTTTCGCACATAAGTGAAACGATCCAGATGACTCCAGCCAGTGAGGTCAGAGAGGTGACTGTTGATGCGGCAGACAGGGACTGAAGGGAGGAGCTTGATTATTGCACTGATATGCCGATGCTATGAACAAGCAAGACTGGAATTATATAGATCGTTACATAGGTAGGAATATAAGGTACTTTCTGTTGCATGACGAGAAAAGGGGCATTCAATATATATGCGCTCATTGGACGAGCTTTTGGCTGTAGTTTATACGGTGTAGAATTGGTGAATCCTAAAGCAGAATCTAAAACAACCACCTATAACAAAATCCTGGAACGCAATAAAGACACTCTAAACCGAATAGCTTGCTACAGAAGATAATCAACATTTTCGAAAGAACCATAACCATTTGCCACAATCTAGAAATCCTTGAATGGTGTTGTGGCACGAATTATGACCGCCACAAATATACGGATATAGACATCAACACAGTATTATCGACACCATATATCATAGCATGCAGCTTATCACACTTGATACTGCATCCCTCCTGATGGGCAGCGCTGCCTTAGCTAGACATGAAATCATCAACCCACTTGATTTCACTAGACCCTGCCCGAATCCAAGCGCTTGAGTTCACATCCAAAGACCAAGCATGATCGGCTCGGACGCAGTTTCTGCACTAATTATAGCTTGCCCACAGTTTCTTCAGGTTCAAATCCAAGGTTCCGGCATTGGAACAAAAGTATTTATGATACACTCGCGACATTGACTCCGCCCAAAAGTCAACGGTCTTGTACCAGGCACTTATTACGTATGATACTATTGATAACTGGTACAGTACATACCATCATGTCGAGGACGATGTAGATTACGCTGCATATGAAAGAAGTTTATATGCGACTGCAAGAAAGAATAATAGTAGAGAAAAACAAGCATTAGACGCCTATATTATATAGCAGCAAAAACGGCAGAGGTGGGCGGCGAGATTATTCCTAAAGGGGCTCCTGTGCATCTGGAATCATTTGAAGACGCCGTCGATGCCTTTGCAACCGTGGCCACGTTGACGCATCTGTCGAGCAGTAACCACTGTAAGTCGTCTAAGCAGAAGATACACGAACGGCTGTTAGATAAATTGATTGAAAAATGGCATAACAGCCAATATATCGTTTTCCAACTCGAACATGGTTTCAATTGATATGAACTGAATGTGCTCAAGAAGCACTATAGAATATGTTTTTGTTTCACGTTTTTGAATATATGTGTACTGTATGTCATTGAAATCAGTACATATTTGTAAATTTTTGGGGGCGTCTTTAACATGATGGCCAATGACGCATACACGTCCTGCGGAAAAAACACTATTTGAATTGTAGCATCCAACACATATAGTAAGGGTGGACGTGAAACACTCTAGTCTAGAAAGAACAATGGCAAGGACAGGAGACGACGGACTGATATGGGAGGAAAGGGGTGGGGAAGGGATTTAATGTTTTGGTATTCTCTTACATGTATAACAGAAAATATTATTTTCTACAACCGCCAGGGTGTATAAATACATTTTTTGTTTAGGTAGCATGATCCTTGAAGTATTGTGTCAAGTTTTCATACACCAGGAACGTAATGCAGGTGCCGGGTAACACACGAATAATGTTCGGTGCCAAGCCCTTATAGAATCCAACGTATCCTTCTGCAGCAGTGATCTTCTTCATACAATCCACAACACCAGTATATGTATCCCGTGTCGTTCGATCCTGCAATCGACTTCGCAGCACTTGGTATGGGTAGGTAGTCACTGTGGCTAAAACCTTGGATGATGCAGCCATCATCAAATACTCGGTATTGCTCAACTTGGCGTTGTGTTCATCTTCAGGAGATTCGTTACGGGTTTTCAGTCTGTCGTTTCGCCACATTTTCATTTCTTCATATGCCATGAATTGGATGGCCCCATGAGAAACGCCAAATAATGCCGGTACCATGCCTCGATACAGGCCTCGAATACCTTCTTCCCGTGCGAGTCGATTTAATCCGTTTAACAAACCGGTGTATGCATCCGGAGTGTGGTGTGTCGTTGTGCACATGCGTGTTTTGACCACCCAGAACGGATTTGTCATAATAGCTGTCAGTGCGCCTAATCGAATTTGATCCGTTGCATTGTCAGTTTTTGTCGCCCTAATATGATATGTATCCATAGAGCTATTATGCAGTGTTAAAGAGCATACCTCCTTCAGCAGAAGCTATTAAATGCTGCATGGCTGATAGTTTGCCTTGCTCGTCTTTTTTCATGTGCTTTTTGATTAAACTATACCTGTTATATATAAAAACACGGTTATTTCTGTCTATTTGCTCTTTTTCCTAATCCCCTTCAATGCTATTGACCTACCACCAGAAATAAAATCCCCAGCTCGCAGTAGCTCCGGCCATATTGGGTGTGACACCTCGGTACAGTCCGCGGAAAACACCTTCTTTATTTACAATATTACGGAATGACTTGATCGTACCTCCAATAAGTGGCCGTCGTTCCGATCGTTTCGATACATCGACTAGTTCAGATTATCCATAAGTTACTAAGCTACGTCTCCACAAATAAAATGGCGAATGGTATAAGATATAGCTATATTTTACCTTGGAAACGAATTTTGATCACGTCTAGAGGATGCAGCATCGTAGTTGACACTAGGCCCGCGCCAAAACCAGCCACAGCTTGGTCCTGCGTTTTAACACATACACGAATTAAGATAAAATAGAAACGCTTCTCTACTTTCTTCTCTTGTTATTCAAAAGACATTACTGTGTGTGGCGATCCCGTAAACGATTTGGCTTCTGACATGGCCCGGTTGAATAAACGATCAAGGAACAACAAAGCAACTGTCCTTTTCTATATTTTCCCACAGCGATTTACTGCTCAGATTAGAATCGGAAAAGAACGTGACGGGGATGCACACGTTTTGCATGAAATATCTATTTCTCGGAAGTACAATTTGGCGTTATACTCTCCCTGTTGCATGGCAGCAATAGTTTGCTTTGGGTAACGTGAATGCCTTTATAACTATCAATTCAGCAGGGCCGTACCATGTGTTAAAAACGAGCTCATGACACTGTAGAATACCGACAAGAAAGAAGTTTGGCTTTTAACATAGCTTGACGTAAAGGACATGCCATGTTTGGAAGGGTAAGGGGTTTCTGAAACAATAAAATACCTTGCCACAGCTCTCCAAACCTGTTATTTTCCTTTCTGCCATTCTGTTTTCATGCCACCACCACCACTACCCAAAGACGATAAAAGCCATACCAACAATGACGGCAGTAGCAGTAGTAACATAAAATCTCGACGTGGCAAACAGAAAAAGGATGACTTGACTCGCAAAGACATTGCCAATTTATACTCGCAACTGGAATCCGTGGTTGAAAAAGTGCCGAGTCCTTCACCACAGCAGCAGCACCAAGCAATGGTACTATCGCCTGATGCCACCAACAGCACACCGACGTTGAGCGCCATTTCCACACCTGGTAAATCACCTTCGTCGCCAGCAGCAGTAGCAGAAACACCGTGTGATTGTCCACACCGACATATTTTCACTCGAAATGAAACGACATGTGCATTATGCGATCAAGAAATACCACAACTGACACAACTTGCCCGCGCCAAAGCCGAATTGGTAGAGGCACACACCACAGCCTCCAGCAACGAACAAAAGCTTATTGAGTTACAGGCATTAAAAGAAACAAATGAACAACGACTCGAACACACCACGCAGCAACTTGAATCGTTGCGGCGAGACATGCAAGTGCTGAACGATAAATACGTGGATGAAATTGAACGTGTGGGTGAAATCCAGCATGCCAAAGCGTTGGTCGAAAACGAACTTGAGGAATTATCTCAAAGGTTGTTTGAAGAAGCCAATGGAATGGTGGCGAGCGAGAAAAGAGAAAAGTTCAATCTACAAGAAGCCTACAAGCATCTTCAGGAAAAATTTGATGAAACACGCGAGCGACTCGCTGCTGAAGAAATGCAGCTCAAAGAGTTACGAGAAAAGATGCAGGAGGGAGAAGAGCAACAGCGCTCATTATCCATCAATGGCAGTTCTGATGAAAGAATGAGTAGCATTGGAGGTGGCGGTGGTGGGGACAGTACAATATTATCACCGGCAAGTGACGATCCAGAAGGAACTGCCGCATACGATCTCGCTGAAATGTTTCGTCGTCAGCTTCAAATCTCAACGACACATCGATTACCACCTGATGGAACGGATACGATGCTCGTCGAGAACTTTTCCGAGTATGTCATTGCAAGCCCCAACATTGCCTTGAAGAAGCTATACACGTTACCCTTTTTGAAATATTGTTTGGCCGAGGATATTGAGCCCTGCCTACGCTTTGGACCCAACTCGCGATTGTCGGCACGAAAATTAATTGATGCAATCACGCTGAATGCCTGCTTTATCGAGGACACGCCGCCTGGATTTGTACAAGCTCAGGCAAAGAAGCATTTCATCAGTGAGACTCCGCTCAAGATATCCGCTTTGAAATTGTCGATGTGGGAAAGGTTCAGCAGTGATGATAGTGGGGTGTTTCAAGGATGTCAGGCTTGCGGAAGACTAGAGTCACCGTTACCGTATCGGTTCAGGATATCCTATTTAGATGACTGGGCGTGCATTGATCGCTACTGCCGAGACCGTTTGGTGGCCGTATGCGAATTTTTTGTATTTATCCGCAATATTCGCCAAGGCTACTATAACCGAAGAACGATTCCGGATCTCTATCATGAATCTATACGACTGCGACTGCAAATGTTTTATGCGAGGTAAACACAAATTTCGGTTATTTGATCGTCGAGTTCACAGGGTATATACGTGCAAAAGTAACGAATGGAGTCATTTATATATAGGATGGGCGTGTTGCCGTGGATCTTGAGAAGCTTAGGCGTAAAAGGTGATGCACTTGGTGTTGCATCCGAGCCACAAATGTCCGTGCCGCCTACTCCTGAAGCCATCATTCCTCCATCACCTTTTCGAGACGACAATGACGACGCTTTGCTGTCTCCCCAGTCACCAGCAGTCCCTCCTCCCCCTCCAACTGAAGGCATTTCCACTACCCCATCTGCATCACCAGCATCCCAAGAGTCATATCGATACTAGACATCTTTTTATTGAACAACAAATAATTCATTTCATCTACAGTTTGTATATATATATATATATATATATATATATATATTCATAATAGTAAACATGATCTTTCAGAATGTGCTCCATGTTTTCGAAAACGAAATTGTGGCAGCAATTATCCATATGCCGAGGAGGTTTGGTTTTATTTATTTAGCGTCTATCATACATATTTGAAGCTTGTTAACGTTTTGTGAAACACTTCTCAAGCGCACGGACCTCCCCTTCATATGTACAGATCTTTATTAACCTATTTATTAATTTTATAAACTCCTGTCTCTATGAAAAAACTATGTTACAATGTACTGAATGTATGTAGATAAAAAGTATATTACTGCAAAGGGGTAGTAGTAGTAGTAGATGTATTGCTATTATTATTCGTGGTAGTTGATCCTCCTCCTCCCATCACCCATCCTTTTATTTTCCGCCAGTAATAGTCGAAATAGTTGCCAATGATCAACATGGTGGTGATCGATTGTTGCGAATCATGCATCTTGTGCTCCAGTAAGCTGACCTTGTTATAAAATGTCGACACATTTTCCTCTACGTCCTTGAGATTCTCATTCAAAACATTTAATTCGTAATGCAGTTTCGCGCTACCGTCTTCCACGTCTTTTAATCGAATCTCAGTCTCGTGCTGTTCATCCATGGCTTGTCGAGCTGCCCGTTCAATCTGTTCAAACTCGGCCGAACGACGCATGTATGTTGTACGTAATTGGTTCGCTCGTTGTTCGTACACACCTGCTAGTCGTTGTAATTGTTCGTATGCTTGGTGTAATGTGGCATGTTGCCGTTGTAGTTTTTCAAACATTAGATAAGTTTGAATATCCATGGTGACGGCCGGTCGTTGTTGGTTGTTAATGTTGTGCGGCACTTGTACTGATTCGTCAGCAGAATCAGAATAAATGTCGTCTTCGTTGTTATCGTCGCTCATTGTTGTCGTAGCAAACGTGGGTATCACGGTCAGGGAATGTGTGCGGTGAAAGGGTATCATTTCATCAAATATTTCGTCGTCGTCGTCGTCCTCATCGTCGTCTGTGTTATTTACTTTGCCAGTGTTGCTGTGATGTGATGATAGGAAAAAGACATTTGCAGGGACGATGCTGTCCGACACGGACCGAGCTCGTCGTGGAATGCGATGTGGTTGTGTTACAGGCGTAAAATCGGACACGTTGTGTACTGCCACGTCACTCCTCATACCATCGCTCCGTATAGATATTGGCGATGCAACAAGCTCGGTACGCTGTTCGATTGGGGTATCTTGACGTTCTGGGATCATACGCCGTGGCAGAATGTCCAAATCAGACCGGTGGCTAGATTGTATACCCTCTTGACGGTTAATTATTCATCTGGCATAATTGTCTAGGGCTTCCCTCTGAGGAGAGAGAGGGATGTACATACCTGTTGTTGTAGAATTCGTCGTCGGACGATAGTGCATTATCAGAAGCTATGTTTGATGTCTTGGTTTGCGCCGCATGTCCGGGTGGATACAAAATATCTTCAACAGTAGAAATGCCACTCGGGTCTGTCAATTGTATACTTGTGTCTGTCAATATCGAATGATTTGTAGGGCGATGTCTTGCTGGAGGAGGAGGAGGAGGAGGCGGCGGCGGCGCTGGAGGAGGAGGAACGACGCGTGTAGAATGAAACCTGTTGCCACTGTTGCTACGTACATGAGAACCAGCACTGGTTTTGCTGCTATCTACCCATGGCAAGGAACCTGCAAACTTGGACAGGATCTCTGCTGCAGCTCCGCTTGTCCTTGTGGTTCGTGCTGAAACACCCTTAATCATGTGGATGAATTCATGTTGCTTCTCCAAATCACCACCAGCACCACTACTTGTCGCACCATGGCCGCCGCCACCAGCACCACTACTGCTGCTACCCCCGCCACCTCCAGTTCCTGTATTTAGTGTCGGTAAACTCTTTAATCGCGGTCGCCAGATGGCCCTTAGACTTTCGATAGTCGCGTGATGTCGAAATACTTCTGGATCCGAGGATTCGGTAAACAAGGGCGAATTGCTGATCCCTGGTTTGGCATAGAGTTTAATATGCAATAATCATGTATCAAAGAATTTTTATGCGTTCGAATATGACGGAATCTTACCTGATATATCATCTAGCTTGGATTTGATCACGTTGCGCACTTTGAGTTGACCCACAGTATGTTCGTTTAATTTTTCCAGTGTCTCAAGGTCAATCATTTTGGTTCGTCTCAGGTTCTTTGTTCGCTGCAGAATGTAAAAAATGATTAAATCACATGTTTAGTCATGTTCTCTCGTCCTCTCTTCTTCACTAAATTTGACAACCTGTCTTTACTTCCAATTTTTCTTACCTGATATTCTTCAATATCGAAACGAAAATGCTCATAATCTGCAAATGGATCTTTGATTGTCTAAAAAAACATTCAAGTTATAAGAGACTAGTCCAAAGCTAAGTACACACTTATAATAAAAGCCTTATAGTAGAGAAGACATTGCTTACTGTAAAGTTATATGCATGAAGCTTGTTCCTGCACAAGACCAGCTTGCTAACAAGTGCTGCAAGTAAATGTGGTTCCATCCAGGGTTCTTTTAACTGATACTACATATCATATCCATTCGGTCTTCTTGTCAGCTTTTTATATGCATATTACCTGCCGAGCCTTACTATCTTTCTTACCTCCGGTGACTTGTGAGGATGATACTTTGTATAAAACTCCCAAAATGCCTTTGTTGTCTCGTTACAAATGAGACCATCGATATATTCCTTTCTCAGCAGATCGAACAGATAGAGTGCAATTTGAGCCACAGTAACCAGGTTGATCACTGCCCTTTCAAACGGGACAGTCTCAGCAATCTTGTAAATGGATCTAAACTTTTCTTCTGATGCTGGACTGTACAAAATACAAAAAATGTATGTCAGCTAGTGCTAATGATTGTATACATGTTAAAGTAACTCACTTTGGTTTACGTAAATTAAGCGCGCTTCGTCCAGTACAGTTTGTCCGTCGTAAATTGATATTGACGTATGCCTGGTTAATCCATTTATCATAATCACCGTCAGGCACAAGCACCATATCCATATCAAAAGGCAACTCGCTGGGATCCGTCAGCATAATTTCGCCCAATGGTGTCTATCATCCAATAGCATCAGTATGTGCCGTGCATATGTGCGCATTATGTGTATTGCATATGATTATGCAATATGTAAGAACCCCACAAACGTACTGGCTTAAACTTTAAAGGCGTGTGTGTATTAAAGAACGCTTGGATTTCGGGTCGTGGGTGTTGCAACTCGGCTGTCGAAATGCGAATTACGCAGACTTTAATCTGTTGTTTTAGAGGAGGACGTGAGCCAGAAGTTTGTCTGATGACTTGATTGCTAACATACTACGCTTGTCACAAACATATGCTTCAAACAAGCGTTTCGATGAACTCACATAATGATTTTGGTCGCCGGTGAATACTTTGATTGTGTTTGACGTAATGCTACGATCGCATAACCTAAGTAGATGTATCGACTTTAATGGAAAAGTTCCTCCTAATAGCAAGGTGTTCAGCAGTGACAAACTTTTTTTTACCATTGTTCGATAATATAGATCTGGTACCCGACCAAGTAGGTTTCTTCCTCAATGACACCAAGACCACACGATTCGGCAAGCTGGAGCGTTTTTTTCCGTTCAACAAAAACAAACTGTTTTCCGTCGTGCATCATTGTCATTTCAAGGGCATTGTATATGTATATTAGATAATACGGACCCTTCCACAACACTCCTTATCTTTCTTTTTTAAGGTCGCGACGAAAAAAAAAAGCAAAGGAAGAGAAAGAGAGACAATAATTAAAGGTTCCTGCAAGAAGAACGAGGCGACTTGATTCCAAAGAACTCGGAGTTGGTGTTTCTCCCTTTCTTTCTTCTCACCACAAAAAAAGACATGCTTGATCAAGTGAACATCATACCCATCACAGTAGTTGCAGCTGCTGTTCTTTTAATATTAACAGGTTTAGTTCAATAACAACTTCTTCACCATTACTCCAGTAAGTGTGACATGCGTCTAATTACCTTTCCCAAATGCAGTTTTGGTTGGCTTTGTGTTTAAACGAAAATCATCTAAAACGACCATCCTGTTACTTGGAGCAACTGATGCTGGCAAAACAGCTTTATATACTCGAGTAAGTATTACATTGTACCCCGCACAACACTTGGCGACCAAAAGAAAAGGCGAGAGTTGTATTTAACAGTATTGCTATTTTATAATAGTTGCGGTTTGGTAAAAAAGCACAAACTGTCACTTCGATGAAGGAAAACGAAGGATTGCTTACTCTTGAGAATAAGGTTCGTATCACGAGAGAGGAATTAGGCACACAAAGCATTTTGGGTGGTTATTTGCAAAACCTAAACAATATAGGATAGACATTTGATTTGGTGGATATGCCTGGCCATGAACGCGTCCGATTTCGATACGTTGATTATTTGCCTGTAGCACGGGCCATCGTCTTTGTCGTGGATAGCACGACTGTGGCACGTCAGATCCGGGTCGTTGGCGAGTACTTGTATAACGTGCTGGCGCAACAACAAGTTCAAAAAGAACGTATTCCCATCCTGATTGCTTGTAACAAGACCGATTTGATCACTGCCTTGCCTCAAGAAAAGATCCAAGAACGTCTTGAAGTTGAAATGTAAACGCCAAATTTGTCGAGAAAGGAAACATTGCCTGAATGGGAGAGCTAATATATCGAAACAATTTGTAATAGTAATCGGTTGCGAAGCACACGTACGGCTGCTGTTGAACAACAGGAGACGAGCTTGGACGATGAGCAAGAAGCTTACTTGGGTTATGAAGGAGAGAAGTTCAAGTTCGAACATTTGGATAATGATGTGCAGTTTGAAACGTGCTCGGTAGAAAAGGATGCGTTGGATAAGGTTGTGGATTGGATCATACACATTTAAAAAGTAGTAGGAGACCGAGACCTTCTCTTGTATATAATATAATAACGCTTTGATATATGTGATTTGGTTTCTTATTTATTATTAATATGCAACAAAAAGAGAAGAATTGGTATATATAGTGCCAAAGTTTCAGTGATTTTGTGTATTGTAAACATCACTGACTGTATGCGTGTAAAACTAAACAAAAAGGAGAATGAAAGTGTACAAGATCTACTTGACACGAACAACAAATCGGCTGAATGCAGCAGCAATTAATGCCATCATACCACCAAACGCCAACACAGGCGCAACACTCGACGAGTCTTGTTTACCACCGTTCTCGGGATCCAATGCATCGGCTGCTGCGAAAATAAACGCGGCAATGATAGCCACGGCGAACTGGGGAAACACGATATACATGTTGTGAACACCTAATATCATGCCTGCATCAAAATCCTCCTGCTGATCCTCCATTCTTGCTGGCGATGAAGATGACGACGATCCTGTAAGAGAAGCGGTGACGCCATCGACGAATTGGGCTTTCTGACGTTGTTCATCTTCGTAACTGACGAATTCACCCACCAATGAGAACGGGACCCAAAGAACAATGGCCCATGGAATGCCCATGACGGCCAACACGACCGTGGCTCCAGCAACCGAGTCGACAAACCAAGCGGACAGAAGCGCACCAGCTACGACCAAGTGCGATGCCGTGTAGACGTTGGTTAGTGAGAACCAGCGGATGGCCTTTTCGTATCGTGAAACGAACGCAGGAATCACAACGCCGGCAATGACGGAAACAATAGAGTAGCACAATAAGGCAAAGGAGCCTGCACGCGTACCATCCGCCCAATTATCATCGGTGCCTTTGTTGGATGGATGCGTGCTGAAATAAATGTCGGATACCCATTGCGTGCTATGAAAAGTGATACGCCACTGTTGTTAGCACACACTTTCGCTCCCGGTCTCATAACAGCCATCAGCTGCAACGTATTTGCTTGTACCTGTAGAACAGAAATGGGAACCAACCCATCCATGCAAAGAATTGGGTATTACAAAGAGTCTGCACAGGCCGAGGCAACCAGCGGAATGCTCGCCAGATGTAAACAAATGTGCTGTACCACGGTCTGATCGAAAAACAAAAAAGACATGAACATGATGTCATCATAGTATATACTGTAGATACGACTTACTGGTTATCTTCATCGTCAGCTCGGTCGAGTTTCTTTTCATGAGTTGTAACACAGGTGATGCCGAGTGTTGCACAAAAGACAACAATAGCGACGGCGCAGAAAACTTTGATCTGCGAATCGCCCAGCCAAGGTAAGAGTTTAACAAGATCGACGAATCCAACAAAATAGCCAATCACCATGGAAGAATTGCACATGCGTGCACTCCATGCATTTGCTTCGTCTTGTTGCCACAGCGGTGGAATATCCAAAATCAATGCTCGACAGATGGCCTGTACAGCGTTCAGCGTGAAATCCAGAAAGTAAAATGCTGCAACAGCTACAACAATAGCATAGGTACGCGACTAGATGATCAAGCTCGTCAGTTGTCCCGCCCTTAAAAAGTACATGTTAGTAGAAAAGAAAGAAGAATACTTTACTGCTTGGCCGACGATATCCAAATCTTGTTCATCGTCACCGTACTGCAATCGGACAATGACATGCGCGATCTCGCGTGCGTAGGCTACACCAATCATTGAAAAGCAGGTCAGCAGACCGGCAATGACAATAAACGGTCGGCGTTTTCCGAATCGTGATGTGCATTTGTCGCTAAAAGCGCCAATCAGCTACATAAAACATATCAGGATCACCATGTATATTTGTTGTTGTTGCTCTTGCTATTTGCCTATCTCTCTCCTGATCATTCTATGCTGCCCTCCACTCTTGGTTACTATAAACGTGATAGCGATATATTTACCGGTTGGACCAATAGACCGGATAGTGGACCGGCAATCCAGACAAGTGCCGTAAGCTCCTTTGATAAATTCAGTGACAAGAGATATGGCGTACCATAGCTACGGATAATCAATGGTGATAAGTAATCCACGTTTCTACAATTCATCACTCTGCTTCTGAGCAATATTCTAGAGAGGGATAACCTACGAGAGCTCGACAGTCCCTACAGCGATGATTTCATGTGTTAAAGTCCACACTTACTTCTCTTTGAAACAAGTAGTAAAAACTAAAAAGGAGTCTAAAACTTACAGGTAAACTGAACACCAGCCATACATATGGTAAGACCCAGAAGCCTGCGCAAATCGAGGCCAGGATCGGATAATGTCAATGGTTCATGGATGGACGATGCAGCAGACGAACGAACATAGCCAGGTGACTGACCAGCACTGTTATAGGTAGATGCATCAAAAGAAGAGCGTCGACGTTTATACTTTGGACGACTAACGGGTGGTCTTGGCGTAGTACTATAGTGCTGATTACCACCGCCACCGCCACCACTACCAAGAAGTGGGGTTTTCTGATCAGCAGCTGCGTTCGACGTGTTGCTGTTCTTGTTGTTGCTGTTATTGGTTCCAGCGACCATTATTGAAGTCGAGGTAAAAAGAAGCGAAGATGGTGATGTATGTTGGAAGAAGTATAGATGTGAGAAGATAGAAAGGAAGAAAGTATTACAAAAAATGTTGTGTACGCGAAGGTATTAAACGGGTGAGAGAGGAAGAAGCAAAAGAAAGTGAAAGAAGAGCGGAAAGAAATCCTAAAGTCAGCAGAGAAGTGTGCGAGTAGCAGTCCAGCCTCCCAGTTTACCATGTCCTCTCTTTTTATACAGAAATTTTGCGTTTATTACTGATCGAGTCATATGACCCTTTTGTTTTTGTTTCTGCCCTCAAGGGAAAATTGACATGTAAGCTTTTTCAAGGGGGCTCGCACCCATCATCCATCATCACCGACTTTGGCTTTCCATCAATTGTAATTGGTACGCATCCTGAATGTTTACAATGTCCCATTCCAGGAACATATGCTGCTTCTCCATGACGATGATTCCGGTATCCGATTGTTGCTATTGCAACCACTTTGATGCAAGTATGTGCTGCCCACCACCCAGGCACTTATTCTTAGCTCAGCAAGATGCTCTTCCTGTATACAGATTCAGCAGAGGAGATGATGATGCAAGATGGACCCTCAGATCATACAAAACAGTGTCTGTTTGGGAAAATGTCCTGTCGGATTAAAGCTTTCGTCATATTGGATCTGTCTTTTGTTTGTGTGTCGCGCTCTGTAGGCAACGACGGTTCATCTTGACCAACGCAGTAACCGTACATGTTACCATGGCGACACATCAAAGGAGAGGGTACGGGGCATGGTTCTCTTTTGTATTGTGCTGGAAATCAGCTGTGCCTGCATAGCATCACCATTCCCGTGAACACGACAGCATCCAACGGGATTTCACTCCGGGGAGCCTTTTACGTCAAGTGATGATCACGCTTTTTTAAATGGCGAGAGAAGCGGCGTCATGTCAAAAGCGTATCTAAATTGGGTGTTAATCGATGAGAAGAACAGGGACGAGACAGACACGTAGAGTGCTGTGGTAATGGTAATATGACATGACATGCCGTACACGTATTATTGTTTATCATAAACAAAAAGAGGAGGTTAGAAAGAAAACTTCTGTGCGCGTCATTTGTTAGCATGTGGCTGCGCGAACCATACTGTATTGATGCACTAAAATCAAGGAACCACCTCTCTCCTCTCTCCTCCCCTCCCCCGTCTCACATGCAGTTGTTTTGCATCAAAATTGGACAGACTATTAGCAAGTAGCAGTAGGGATCACTGTGATTTTCCCCTGTACAAGCAACTCAGCTACTCTTTTCTTATGATGATTATCGCGAAACACTAGTTCCGGACGAACAGCGTAAATAGACCAGTGAATGCTCACACTTGGAAGACGAGGTCAGTGCTTTCATGAAAAAATCATAGTAGGGTATCATGCTGGATGCCTACTAGCTACCACAGCATATACGGTGATCCCTCAGGGTAGATCCTCAAATTGTGATAGCAGAATCTTGTTGCTGCTGTTACAATGGTTGTATGCAGTTTAATCAATGTTGGCTGACAAACTGCGAGTACATATTACAGTACTCGCATATTGACATGCAATTACTTCAGTATGTATGTAGAGCAAACTACGCATCAAACCATCCATTCGCTGTAGCAGATCGTGCAAAAGAGAACAGATCAAGGCACCAAAAGGGATGAAGACTAGTGAAAATCAAGATTAATCGCCGTGAAGAGCAGACCTCTTTGATGGTCGGGTAAGGGAAAGAGTTACGGTACCCGCTTCAATGACCACGACGCGTATAGTAGAATGTGTAATAGAAGAACCAAAGTAGCTATCATAAACTCAGACAGACAGTGCAAAGACGCAGTGTGTTCACATGAGATGTAGAACCTTCAACGTGGTTGTTTCACAGAACGAACCCATTTTGGAAAAACCTGTGAGAACGTCATTGCGACAAAATCTTCCTGTACTTCCATTGTCCCGCTGTGTCCCCCCCTTACGCTTTCAGTCTCTCTTTCTTTTTTCTCCCACTTTCTCTTCCGCTCAGTCCCTTCTACTGTTATTGTTGCTAAGCAAAAACCCCGTAAACTTCCTTTTTCTTTGTTTATCGCAGCTCTCTCACAAAACAACTATGAACATCTTGGACCCTGCAGTACCCAGCGTGAACTACTTGGATGTACCCGGGACCTCCAGCTCTTCCTCACAAAATAACCCGACCGCGAGTACAAGCACTGGCAATTCGTCTTCCAGCGAACGTAACCACAACAGCAATAACCATAGCTCGTCGTCAAGACGTCGCTCACGAGGTCTATCCCTGAGTTTGGTGGATATTGTTTCATCCACCACCTCACGTAACAAACGAAACAGCACATCGTCAAACCATAGCGCTGCCCCTTCAGATTCCGCTTCGTCATCCTCTTCACCGCCCACCAGCAGCAGTAATACTACAGCAACAGCAGCAGCAGCACAACCACCGACGACCACCACCACCACCACCACCAATAATGGCAGCAGTAGTAACAATGCACAACAACAACTTTCACCACCTCCTTGCATCACCAAGCCAAGTGAACTGACAATTGAAATTGACGGTGGCCAGCAACTGATAATTCGACCCAACCGAATTATGCGAGGTACGTAAAAGAGTAATAACAAACGCCCACGTGGTATTTCCCATGCCAAGCCAAAAAGAAACTCATGCAACATATGAAATGATGGTCATAGGTACTGTGGTTTTAAAAGCTACACGCGCAATCCATGCTACGCAAATCCGAGTCAAGGTATTATATGGGAAGGGAACAGGGCCAGCAGAATTTAAACTATACACATAGTAGCTGTGTGTGAAATAAGAACTAGGGGTATTAATAGCCGATATTATAGTTTCGGGCGGAAGAGGTGGCGACGGTCCGAGTGCGAGAAGCCACACTGGAAAGTAAGTTTGAAAGGATCGACCAATTAAAACGGACTTACTTTAATGTCGATACCAAAGTATGGGGCAACGATGCAAGTGGTAAGATCCTACAATTTGTTAGTGTAGTGTGACTCTATCAGAGGAACAACAACAATAGCAATAACAAATGCTATCATAGCCTTTTCGATAAAGACATGGGATACTCTGGAACCAGGAGAACACTGCTTCCCGTTTGCGCTCAAGGTAGTTTACAACTTATCGATGTTAATAGAACTCTTGCCAAAAACGGTCAATTGAAAGAAGCGCATGTAGTTTCCCAACGTCAACTTTCCGCCATCGGTGGATGACCCGCTTGGGTTTTCGATTCATTATATCTGGTCGGCCCATGTGGATGGTGCAGGATTCCATCCGGGGCTTCGCAGCCGAGACTATGTCCTGCCTTATCGTCCCATCATCTGCGCCCCGCCAGCCCAGGAATGGACTGTCAGCGAAACGTTGTACAAATCTGACAAAAGGGTCCCCATGGCCCGAGTCGTTGCCATGTTGCCTCAACACGTCTTTTGCCCAGGTAAGCCAACTTTATCTGCAACAGCAGTAGATGCACATAGACCATACTCATTGGTATCATTGCTATTATCGTACGATATAACAATAGATGAACCATTTCAAATGCATCTACACGTCGAATGCATCCCTCGCGACCTGATTGTCGTTTACGCCATGATTTCATTAGAAAAGCACTATGAAGGCAAACTCCAGCTCCAACAAGGAACAGCCTACAAATCCGCCTCGCGAAACATCTTTCGAAGCAGTTTAAGCGTCACAGGCAACGACGGAACCGTCTCAATGCCAATCCGGTTCCAGATGCCTACACGGCTCGTCAGCCCATCGTTTGCATCCAAAAACATCCGCGTGTATTATACCCTAACGTTCCACATCGAATGTGAAAGTGCCGGTAATGCTCTGATCAACAGCATGAAGCGACCCAAGTGGACAGGCCAGTTCTCGATACCTATGGCTATCGCAAACTTACCTAACGATCACCTGCTTCGCATCCCCGAACTCACGAGTATTCAGTCGTATATGCACTCGAACGAGCCGCCTATGTTTTTTGATCCTTCCATGGACGAACCACTACCGCTCCACAATGGTTATGCCCATTCTGAAACGCTTATGACCACCCCACCTCCGCAGTCACCACCGAATTATTTCAGTTTGACGAGTATGCCCCCTGCTCAGAATGAGCGAACTGAAAAGATGTCGTTTACGAGTAGGCTGATCAGACCCGGATTTGCTCCGGAGTTGGGTGATCTGGCTACCATGGCTGAAGTCTATGACGATGACTGGTAGCACTATTGATAATACCTTACGATGAACAGTCTGTAAAAATAAAGCATTAGAAATGGAACAACACTTACAGACAACACATCGCAGAAGGGCTACGTATAAATCCAAATGAAAAATTGAGCTGAGCCGAATTATCCGATTATGCCAGCGGGGAGAAGGGGTGATGGTTAAATAGAGCCACTGTAGATATACTTTTTTATTTATCTTAATCATTTCTTTACATATTACAGTAACATCAAAAGTAGTTAGGAAGGCAGTATAGATCTTCTGCAAATTGCTGTTATCTCGTTTACAGGAGTAAGAAATAAACATGGTTGGAGGAGAGGATTAAAGAAGAGTATGGTGTATAGGTGATGGCGGCGGTAATAGTAAATAATATAATCTGAAAGCGAGTAGGCGGGGGGGGAGGAGGGGAGGAGGGGGTATTTACTGCAAAGGTTCGAGCACAACATCATTCAACAAGTCGCGCATCTTTTCGAGATCCGGCTGCAAGATTTCTTCAGCCCGCTCAATATCGTCCGCCGAGACAATGATATTGGCCGATTTGAACGTACTCAGATAAAGCAGATTGATATGTGCCTCCGTTGCCAGCGGATGCGAAATCGAGCGTACAATGCCACATCGGTCCAGATTGGTTCCTGCCAAATTCACCTGGATCACGCGCAACGGCACCGTGTCCTCGTCTTGGAACAATGCTTCTTCTTCGAACAGGTCCAAAATATGCTTGTCAGCCAACAAGGAGATCCCGTCACTTGTTGCCGTGTAAGAAAAGAATCGCTGCTGTTGTTGCTTTTCTTGGTTGTCATCGTCGTCATCGTCGTCATCACCATAATCACCACCATCGTCGTTCGCACTAGACGATGATAACAGTTCGGGAAAAGACATGACTTTGAGCATCGTCGTAGACCAGCTGGATCGATAGTGTGGGTTCAACCCAGCACAACGTAATTCGTTATCCAGAACGTTGCTTTCAATGTCTGATTCGTTGTTGTTGTTATCGGTGCCAGTAGTGGTAGCAGCATGCATCGACGAGGTGGTACTATCTGCAGCTGATGCCAATGATTCGGCAGATGCGTTGGACTGTTGAATTATTTGCAGCTGTTGCATGTTATGGTGGTACATGTCTAACGAATCCTGATCGAATTCGAACCCGTGATCCAGTAACACCTGGACTGCTTGTCGCATCCGTCGCTCTTTAACCTGTTTTTTAGGCAACGTTAATCACCACCTAGTAGTAGCGCGTTTTTCGTGATAAAGGAGTGTGGGGATGGAGAGCACAACTTACAAGCACAAAGTCAGTTTGATAAGTTGACATGTAAAAGATCGAAAACTTGTGCTGGGCTAAGGGTTCCGATAAATCAGAGATACGTTTCCCGCTCGCACCTATATCATCATTTGATGGCGAAGGGGATGGAAAGGTTAATAAAAATAGACAATAAGAGATCTAACGCGCCGTTTTTGCTACTAGTCATGAACCGATACACACCTTGCCCTCCAGCATCGTCTACTTGGAGTACGCGAAAAATGTCTGGCGAAATGCCCATATCAGGACACGATGTCAAGAACGGGAGAAAGCCCTGGTCAATGATCGACACGTTCGCGGCAACCGATATCTCGTATGAGTTTTCAGTGAACGAGAAAAAGTAGTCTGGGCTACGTTTGTTTGAACAGAGAGTGAGTACACAAAGCGTGGGAGAGCGAGGGGGGGGACATTTACTTTTTAATGTCGTCAAAGAAACATGACTTGACAATGGCATGGGTTACATGAGGCAGGTGCGACTGAGGGAAATGAAGCAGCTTGAGACGAGCGGGAAGAATGGTGATCATAATTTTCAAGTGAGTGCAAACAAATAGAACAGTGGCATAAAGGAGGAGAAAGAAAGAGAGAAAGAGAGAGAGTATATGCAAACACAAGGAAAACGAAAATGAGAAAGGGCGCGGGTCTTCTTCTACATATTCTCTCTCTCTCGTTTTACACACACAAAAAAAAAGCTTAAAAAATTATTCTGGCAATGCGTAAACTCAACTGATAAGATTACGTCGGGTGTTTGGTTGTCGTGTATGTCGTTCTCGTCCAAGATCTTTATTGATCTGCAGGAGAGGGCATTTGCGCCTGTCAACGTATTGTTTGTTTTGGTACAAACACGCAGCACGGTAGAACAGGCAGCAATAAGTCCCTACACCGGCAATGCTAATGCACCTTTGTGTTTCCAGAAAATGCCAGGGCAGACCGAGAAACAGGTTGCCTTTCTGGAACCCCTCCATCACCCCGCATTTACGCCTCCGCACGTCCCCGAACACGGATGATGTATGACTCCCAAAGCAGATTTAATTGTTATGCTTCTATGAGTTTATGTTGTGTGTGTGTGTGTCTTGGTTAATGAGATATACAATCCAATAAGCGCGGGGTTAAAGACGGAGGATGGTATCCTTGTTGATAGTAGTATGCGAGTAAGTAGAAATGAGTAATATAGTATGTAAATAAGAGATAATCGAGATGGAAGAAAGCTTAAACAAATGTTACACCAAACCAGGCAAGGATCTTTTCAGCTGGTACACTCCCGACCCTCCCGCGACAATTGTCTTTTAAACACGCTCGTAGGCACCCTGCTGTCCAAAGAATCCACGACACAGCTGTCGTATGGCGTTCTCGTACATGTTGGGCGAATGATCCATAAACATCGACCGCGCAAACATGATCTCCGAGAACCGTGCCTGCACATCCTCGCATCGGTTGAGCACAACCATGTGCGCATGCTTTTTCTTCTTTTTGCTGCTGCTGTTGCTGCTGCTGTTACTTCTTGTTTTCGTCGTGGTCGCTGCCAAAAAAGGATCGTCTGTCAACTGTGCTGTTGACTCGACAAGGTAGATGGTGCTTGGTGGATATAGTTTGTCTTCACGCATGTCGGCTCGCATCGTTTTGATAAGTGCCCAATACCACTGGTCATTCTCGTCGTCGTCGTCGTCGTCGTCATGCTCCTCTCTTGGTTCATCATCTTGTTTGGCACCCCCTTTGCTGGTGTTATTTTCGCAGGTGTTATTGTTGGTTGCTGCTGCTGCTGATGATGATTGTCTACGACCAATCACTCGACGTAAAATGTCGTCGGCGACACTGGCTTCTTGATACAGACTGACCGCCACGTTTTTAAAGTCCCGTAAAAGCCCGAGGCTCAAACAGGGCACAATATCATAGCCATGTACAACGCTGGTGACTAGCCCTCGGCCACAATACTCGCTCAGTTCAAGCGACATGGTACTTGGTGGACCGTACGTGTAGCAGTGAATCGGTCTTCCTGGCGGTAATCCCGAATGCTGTGATGTAATAAATGGTACCGGGTCGCGTGCAAGTGCTGCCATGGCAATATGGTTATTCCCACTACTACCTTGCTGCTGCTGGGTCGACGCTGTGTGTCGTTCTTGGCTCCACAAGACACTGAGTAAAGCCGCGACACCGGCACCCAACGAATGACCACACAGCACCAAACCATAGCTTGGGTGTTTCCCCAGCCCTTCAAGGATGGCTTGATACACTTTGCCCTTCTGCTTGGCGAGCAGTTGTGCCGCTTCAAGCATGCCGCCATGGGCTTTGAACTTCGTGTATGGGCTCGTGGGTAATGAAAACTCGCTATAGTCGCACATCAAATCCGTCAACACGTCGCTCAATCCAAGCGTACCGCGACATGTCAGGACAATCGCTTCTGCTGAATGGTCGACAGTAACGTAGTGGACCAACGCATGCAGTTGCGGATGCTGAACCGATCCGGATAACGGGATCGCATCCGTGTAGCTCGATAATAAAATGTCGTCTACAGCCACGCCCGTGTGATGTGAAAATGCATGATGGTTCGGGTGGTGTGAGCTCGGCAGGACGCTGGGTATATCCCCGATGCGCAGAATTCGCATAAATGCCTCGCCATAGGCCGCACTGGCATATCGCATAAAGTGGGCAATGTTGTTGATGATGTGTTTGCGCGGGAAATTGCGTGGATCGGGTTCCTTGTCGAGCGGTGACCGATATTTGCGCTTTTTGCGGTTGGAAGGTGCTGATGGGGATCGCACAATGCTCTTAGTACGTCGCTCGCTTCGATCGGGTCGATATTGTTGTTGTTGTTGACGCCGATGATCCTGCTGCTGCTGCTGCTGTGATGAACGGAACATGGTGGACGAGGATGGTGATGAAGGGGCTGTGGTATAGGTCGCAGTGAGCGTGTGAGAAATGCTGGATACGCTGGTCATAGAGTTGGATCGACCACGATGTGTTGTGCTGGTAACCGACGATCGCGATGCCATGGCAACGCTGCTGGTGTTCAAATGACGCGATGATGACGACGACGGGATCGGCAGTGGCGGTGGCGACGGCTGCTTCTTCCGATTCGCGTTCAAAACTTCGGCACCCTTTTGGAATAGACTGCTCACGCTTTTCCGGCGGGCACCTTTTAACTTCATTCGACCCCACGATGACTTCCGCTTGATTGTACGGTCACTATTACCACTACTAGCAGCAGGATCCATAGTTTCCTGTGTCAGAGACGATGTAGCTGCTTGTCGTTGTTGTGATGGCGGTGGCAAAGGTAAGGGCTTTTCGTCTGCAGCAGTTGTATACTGTGTTGTAGATCGCAACGTTGCTGATCTTGTGGTGCTCAACGTGGTAGAATTATCGTGGTCATCGTCATCATCCTCGTTGTCCTCTAAAAGGTCGAGCGTCTCTATGCTGCCATGATGCACGAACGAGCGACCAACCATATCACGTTGCTGCTGTTGCTGATGATGATGATCGTCACGAGAGTACTTCACTTGTCGTTCAGCCTTTTTGCGCGAGAACTTTTTGGATACAGCCGACAGCATGATTTTCAAACCCTTGGAAGGGCTTTTCAACAAGGTGCGATTATTATGATTATTCTTATAATTGCCATAATCGTCGTCATCGTCTTCAAGCCGATGTTCTATCCATGCGCCCGGGATGGGCTCTCCCTCGTGATCAATCACAGCCATGAATGATTCATTATCCTCTTCATCGGATTTGACCACAATGTATTTAGCCTGGGGCTGCGGCTGCCCGGGGGGTGCAATTGGGCGTATCCGTGTCGTCCGTGTAATCGTCCGCTTTGTAGCAGTTGATATTTCATACATTGGATATGCTGATGCCCAATGAGAAGCTGAACCACCTTCTTGCAATGCCAAAGACAACGTCGAACTGCTGCTGTCGGGATCGTTGTGCGCCAAAATCTCTTCAAGCTCGTGGATGACGTCTGTTGCGTTTTCATCGTCGCCACCGCTACTTCCACCAGTAGCAGTAGGGCCACCACCACCGTTTTGATAACGTACCAATGCAGCAGCAACCGATGCATTGTTGTTCTCGTCGTCATCCTCGTGGTCTTCTTCCACCACTAAGCCCTTCCACATTTTTGTCACCTTGACAAATTCCATGGTGCGTTTATGTGTTACATTTTGTAGCACGGCAAAGGCGGTCATGGCTTTGGTCAGTCCACCAAGAACAGCCATTTTCCCGCTTTTGGCGAGCTCAAACTCTGGATCGTTGACGAGTTCATGGTGAACCAAGGTGATGATGGAAGCAATAGCGCGTGACGTTTCGTTCGATCCAAATATGCCGTCAATGACCTGCACGGATTCTTCGGCAGCCTAGCATATTTGACATATTTTAAGTAGATAAAATGGAGTTACACCGTAAGGAATGGTGCGCACTCGCTTTATATTAAAAGAAGGTTCATTAAAAGTCAAACCTTTAACCCCGTTTGGATAGTGTTTGAAGTGAATTGTAAGCCAGAGAGTGCAAACAGTTCGGCCAACGTAAACGAGTGATGGATGACATAGACGCCCAGTGTGGTGTACTTGTCTAATATTTGGAGGAACACGCCTCTTTTATACATATGAAACAGAGCCAATAATTAGCAGCAGCAGTGTTGACGAGACCAAGTTATGCAAGGAACTCTCTTTCAGGAACACATACGATCAATTTTTAGGGAAGAGTTGTCTTACTTTTCAGCATCAATGCCTACATTGCCATGGACATCACCCGCAGCAAAAGAAGGATAAGTTAGGGCATGCAATTTCTTTGCAGTGGAAATGGCATTGATCAAAGCCTGGCGCGAAAGACCAAAGGAAAAAACGGTGCTGTATTTGGCGGTTTCAAAAAGAGCTTCTATGAGCAGGGACGAGCAGCGGAGTGACAGGCGTGCAGCCAGCGACACCGCCGTAATAAAATTGGCTATATTCGTCGGCAGCAAAGTAGACGACAACGCCTGCAAAGGATTATACGTAACCAGTTCTGTTGCTGTTGCTGCTACGCCTGCTGTCGTTGCTGTATATGTGTCTTCGGTAGTCGTAGTCGTCGTTTTGCCTGTTGCTGATGTTGTAGTTTTTGCGGTGGCCAAGGGATCAAGCACAGCCATCTTTGTTTCATAAGAAGGGGGAAGAGGGGAGGTGTAGGAGGGAAAGGATGGGGAGGGAAAAAGAAAGAGATAGGAGAAAGAAGAGGGCCCGAGCAACTCGACAATGCGTCTAATCATATAAAACGCTACTCCACTAGTTTTGGCTGTATTATCGAAATGTGTATCACACATTCCACCTTGTTTTAAAAGAGTCAAAACACTTGAAAGAGATCATAAGGCTTGCTATATATACAAACTTCCCATGCTTAGCTGCTATGATACATCGTGTACAGTATCATGTTTTTCTCCGCAAAACACACACACACACACACACACACACACCAGCAGACTCTCTTCCTTAGCATGACTATCATCATCACATCATCACGTATTATTACTGTTGTTGTCGTTGCCTGGCTTGCTGTTGTCTCCAGTTACACGGGCCCTCCCGAAATGAAAGGTTCTCATCCCACTCTGTACCACATGCGTTTACTGTACTATCGTGCTATTATGCTATTTCATATTCATATGCTTTTTTTAGTCCCCAAATACCGGCAGAATACGTAGTAATGTATAAACCTTCTATCACAGAAGACGTATGGTGCTGCAGTAGTAACCTGCCGCACAATAATACGTTGACGTGGAGAGTAATTAACTCGCATTTTGTTGAACAAAAGCATGTGATCATGTAAACGGGTTAAAAAGTCGCTTCACGTGCAAAATTGTCAGAGTGTTAACACTATCAACTATATCAACACAGCGAGGAGAAGGGAAAAGAGAGAATGCGATGGGGTGAGGGGAGAGGAATCGGTTCCAATTTACCTAGACACAAACATACAATACCAATCGGTCAGGACTATAAAGCACATGCTTCGTTGAGCATATTATTACAATCATTATAGCAGCATGCACCCATCATCACTTAAACTTTCTACAGCATGGTAAGATGCTACACTGAGTTAAGTCACCTTAAAAGGGGCCAACCTTTAGAATTTTGGGATTGCTCTGATCGCTGGGGCGGTAACTCTTTATCACGCCTACTTTGAATGAATACGTGAGAGGCAATGCAGAAAAGATCACGAAAATATTTGAAGACCCCCTCGGATCAAGCGTTTCAGACCAGCAGCTGCAATAATCTAATATCGTAGTGAGTGTCAAAGATATTCTGTAAGTTCTGACACTTTTCTAGCTGATGTGAGAAGCTTGTTTTATTGACGCTTATACAAACAATCATGAAGGACGTTCGACTCAACGCCTAGCTCTAGCGAATAACCTTCCCTCCTTTGCCGAGTCCTCGACAAAAATGTCCATGTCCGAAGACATGTCAAGTCATGATATCAAAGCGTCTTTAGACATTCTTTGTGCGTTTAAGCTTCGAATTCATCGTTGAGCCAATGCACAAGCTAAGACAACGTGATGTGCATTTGATGAGCAAATTCCTTGCATATTGCAGTTGAAGTATCATCCATTTGTATGTACTTGGTTCGGGCATATTGACTTGTTCCTTATTTTTTGTTACAGAAGACTTATTGCACAGCGACGTCTTTAACAAAGAGGAGTTAGAAGAAATCCGCTGTTATCACGGCCTGAACTTGAACCACTCTTTTTGCCATCTGAAATGCATGAATATCTGCCCTCTTTCAAAATTTTGATACGTTTGCTTATGCTTATACTGTATGCTGGAAAAAATTCAAAGAAGATATGGTCATCGAAAAAAATTATCAACTTTTAATATAGCTGCTGCGAAAGTTCAAAAGTAAATCCAAATGGGAGTATTTTGCGGCTCTTTTGTTATCCTCCTCACCAGCTTTTCTTACCGCCTGATATGCAATAGGTTTCCTGTCAACTGGTTGCCTGTTTATGAGGATAACCTGCCTTTTGTGATCCATACCCCTCCGAGCCCACTTTTGCTGTCTTTGGCTCTCTTCCTAAGCAAATTTTCCTTCACGAAGTTTAGGGAGTTTTGCAGCAAAACGTAAGTATACGCATACTAATATGGAATCTTGCCAATAACCGGCTACTAATAATGCGTATATAGTTGCTACGGATTATCTGGACATTGCTAAGCAACCAACTCTACAGAACCTTCTAGTCCAGAGTACTAGGGAAATTTTATGAGTCTCGGTAGTTGATAACGACGTGAAACTCATTTGGAGTAGCCGTTACATGATAGCGCGCAAAAAGTTGAACCAGAGTTGTGTAATCCCAGTGATTATTTTGACAATATGTAGCAAGAGCTTTGTGAAACTAACGCAACACTATAGGTATTGGGAGGCCGGGACTTGGTACAAAACGCTGCGGACCATAAGAACTTGGTTTCTGTGATTACTACCTCACCCCTTCCCTTCTCCTATGGCAACCCCTTTTGAAATTTGCTCAAAAGATTATTTTCAGCATCAGATGGAAGAAACATATGGCAAAATAGACGATATATGTCATTGTATAAACCAAAATTGCCCACTGGCCGTTCAAATAATCCATTGCATAATTTAAATACTGTCATGATGTACGAAGAGTCACTTTTCAGTATTATCCTTTAATGTGTTTCGGGTTGGTCGCACTTTTATTAAGGGAAGTGATCTGTCAAATCACATTATTGTCATCTTAATTTAGAAGGAAGAGGTAGACTGCTGATATGACCTACAGGTATACACACAAAATCAATGACATAGTAGCTACAAAACCAGACTTCGCAGTCATGCAGACGAGAATAAGAACGGCAAAATGGACCAACAAGTATCAGGTATAGCATTTACTATACAAATGCTAAGGATTGATTGGTTATAAGATGGAGGAGATGTCTTAGTAAGGCAAGAAGAAGAGGTGGAGCAGGATCCGATTCAATGCCTTTTGATTATTTCATGCATGATGTCCCGCCTACTAATGGACGAAGAGAACTACTTTTAAACGGGACCTAAACCGCTTTTTTCCCAACCGAGTGATATGATAGGTGGTCATATCCTCACTTATTAGTATTCATATAATGTACGAACTACAACAAAGAACTTTATGTCCACAAAGTAAATTATAATCATCATCACAGCTGGTACTACTATGTATAAAATGACTTGTTTATATCAAATTTACATAAGCAAGAAAAGAAACGAATAATAAAAAGAATGTAATAGCAGAAAAAAGGTTGTTATGGACAGTGACAAAAAAGAAATATAATATGTATAAAAAGCACGTACTTTGGCGGGGGTTGGGAGTTGGGGGAACATATAAAAACCGGGAGAATGGGCAAATAAAACAAAATATACAAAAAAAAATATTGGTTTGGCGGAAAATAGTAATAGGTAGTAGTCGGGATGGTAATCGCATATGGCCAGCATATTAAAAAGAAAAATTAAACATACATCGGGTGAATAACAATGTGGAGAGGAATTGACATATAAAATCTGCGCAGACGAGAATTGTGAAAATCATAAGGGGGGTAATAGTAGTAGTAGTAAGTAGTAGTAGTTGAGGAGCAAAAATTTACATAGGATGAAGAAGAAGAAGATGAAGACGAGAGGAGTGAAATGTTGTCGAGTTCGAAGGAATGAATGAATAGATGGATGGCATACGATACTGGTTTTTTTTGTTTGTTCTTTTCTGTGTTATTTGTGTCTGTGTGGATCTGTTTGTGCGATCTACCAGATTAGAAAATCCGGCCTTTCTGCAGGTATCCAATTGACTTGGGCAGCCGTAGCAACAGTCGTTGCAGGAGTGGGATCAAAATTACAAACAGTAGAGTCCACCACAGCAGTTGTTGCAGTATCAAATACGCGGGCCAGAGCAATAGAATTATCTTTATTGTCGGCTGTATCATGATGTATGACGGGTTGTGGAGGAAGTTGTGGTTCTGGTGGTGGCTGAAGATAAGGTGGTTCTTGTGGTGAGCTAGGGAATGAAGCAACCTTTTTTTTATGTAATGGTAGGGATCGTCACATAAAAGAGAGTGGAAAAAAAATAGAAGTCAGCTTTACTGTGTACACACTTGCTTTACTTTCCTTCTAAGGTAAGGTGAGAAGACCACGACAATTACCTGCTGATCCCACTGTGACAACGCCTCATCTTCTTCGGATCGGAACCCACCACAACTGACGGTTGTCATACTAGTGACTGAAGAATCGTGCCGCATCGTGGGCCGGATTGGCACAGTTTGAATCCAGTCGGCAATGTAACCATAGTTGCAACCGGTGTCCATGGTAACGAAAGCATCGTCCAAGGACGACGGCCACATTGCTGACTTTGGTGTGTATTCAAACATAAAATCCGTCTGCTGGTTGTGGTGGTGAGTCTGCAGCTGTTGCTGTTGATGTGTCTGTGGCTGCTGCTCATGCTGGTGACACTGATGCTGGTATATCTGTGGCTGGATAGACGGGTAGTGCTGCTGGATGGTAGGCGACGGGACAGACGGCGTCACAGGAGAGGACGAACCATCGCTGTAGCAGTAATACAGCGGTGAAGGGGCCTGGACCGGATGGATTCCGGTAGTAGTGGTAGCAGCAGCAGCAGCAGTAGTAGTAGTAGTAGTAATGCAGGGCGGGGAAGCTGGAGTCACATGCAAGGTCGCAGTTCCGTCGCTTGCTCTGTCATTGGTCACGATGGGCTCTTGACTATCCCATTCAGTGTAGAAGGCCTTATTGCGACGACGTGGAGGTTGTGGTCGTTGTGATACACCATTGGTTGATGATGATGCGTCGTCGTCACCCGAATCTTCATGCGGTCGTTTACGCGATTCGTCCACTCGTTGCTTGGCCTTGGCTCGACGGTTCTGAAACCAGATTTGAACACCTCGGGGCGTCATTGACAGCTTTTCGGCAAGAATTTGGCGTTTGCTAGCGCTGGGCTTTGGATTCTCCTCAAATTCAGCTTCGAGAACTCGGAACTGTGCTCGCGAAGTACGTCTTCGATGCTTGGTTTCGAATGGATTATAGAACGTAGCCTTGAAATCGGCAGTGGTTGTCGTTTTTGATGGGCCAGGTCTATTAGCAGCAGCAGTAGCAGAAGTAGTAGCAACAGTGCTGGTGCTGGTGCTGTTACTACTACTGCTGTTTATACTGTCCCAAGTGCCTGTTTCTTCCAAGTCATGCTTCTCGTCATGCACCGTGGATGGTCGTTGCTGTTGTTGTTGTCGGTCTTCATACTTTGGCAAACCCGCTGTTGAATAGCACTCTTGGCTGTTATCGAGTGGTGGTTGGAAGCCTTCATACGAAGCTGCTGCTGCTGCTGCTGCTGCTGCTACCGAGAACAAAGTTGATGATGGCATGTTTGTATTGTCCATTGGAGCTGCTGCTGATGATATATTTGCTGTAGTTGTTGTTGTTGTTGCTGGAATAAAAGAGTATAATTGATTCATATATGCATAAAATAGAAAATACAATGGAGGTTTGTTGTTGTAGCTGTCTTAAATGCGCATACAATAATGCGACAGCTGGCAAAGAAGAAAAGGAATCAGAAAGAAATAAGGAAGATAATACAATGGAGATGAAAGCGCTGTTAAAGGAGTGCAGTCCGCTAGCCATGGCAAACCTATATATAGTGAATTTCCTGGGCCGGTGCGTGGTGTTTCCGGTTAATGAATAAAGAATGTGTGGGGCCGGTTCGGAGGGTCGGGGGGGAAGCTAGTATATCCGATGCAAACGATTGGTCTATTGAGATTCCCTTGAAGAGGGGGTGAGTGAGTGAGCGAGCGAGTGAGCAGCACACACATGGGGGAGAGAATGAGGGATGCTCCGAAAACACACACACACACACACACAGAAGGTGCTTAGATGGAGGCAGATCATCCAGCAAGCAAGCAAGCAAGCACAGCACAGCACATCGCGTAGAGCTACGGGTGAAGGAACCAATAGCAGACGTCGGTTGGACGTAGCAACTTGCAGGTGACGGGGGTGCAACAAGCACAGTTCTTTAATGGTAAGGGCATTATGGAAACAAAAGAAGAATGATGAAAGCATGCATTTGGGGGGTGGGTGGTGTGCGTTGGGTTGAGGGGACACCGACACACTAATCAGGGAACTTTTGGGGGATGACATGCAAATAGAACGGGTAAAGGGGAGCATGGGGGAGAGTGAGTGTGCAAGAGTGAGTGTGTGGGTCTCGTCGTCATCATCCCTCAAGAAGCGTCGTCTTGGTCATTCCACTCTAGCCTGGGTTATCAGGCACTCTCACTGTGCCCAACGCACACCCACCCATCCATCCATCCCATCCCATCCCATCCATCACAGGCCACAACATTTAAGCAAGTACGTGGTCAATGAGTGGTATTAGTCACTAGTAGTGTAGTGGCGCATAGTCGAGCCCTTTCTTATTAGTTTTCAAATGCAACTGCTTCTGGGGTCATGCTATCTCTTTTACTCTTTGCTTTCATTGCCGCATAAAGTATCTCTTTGAACGAAAAGAAAGCCCTTAATCGCACATGACAGATCGGTAAGGGTTCTTTTTCTCGCTGTGATATCCCGCTTCACTTTTACTTTCCCCTTATTGCGTCTTCCTCTTCTTGACGTTTTCGCTTTACAATGCATCCGGCATGTTATGAATCACTTGCTCGTATTGAGTTTTTCTCCTAGAACAAATGGAACAAAAAAAGAAGGGGGCTTTGTCGTCTTCCATGACAACAACGACAGCAACAGCTACAACAACAGCAGCAGCGACAATGATGATTGTCATTGTTAAAGTCGCACGGGGATCGGAATCTAATTAAAGAGGTGTTGACGTCCCCGGATTCAGGAGTGATGTTTGCCTTCATAAAGTGCGGGGATGATTATCTTGTATCTTTTTGCTGAGCTCCTATGTGCTTTTAGGAGAACGGGATAGAACGAATAGATGCTTTTTATACTATCAATGCTCGGTCGGGGGAGAAATGAATCTTGGGGGAGAGAGAGAAGTATAAGCTGTGGAGGCGATCGTAGTTCTGATCGAGATAAAGTTGAAGATGATGATGACGACGTTGACCATCGCAGTGTGGACCTTAGACTTGTCTGTCTTCCACAAAGACCATGCACACCTGTCCAACGATCGTATTAGGCACTCATAACTACTGTTACTAAGAATGACAATAAGAGCCGAATCTAAATCCGCTGCCTACATTGGCTTGCCATCCCTTGTTTTCTCCTCTTTGATAGGGGGCTCCTCTATTGTTAAGGAGAAAATTACTTGTTCCAGTAAAAATGTACCACATGCTGGCATGTGTCATGATATATACTGCTACCAATGCTATCGCCTATAACCAACACATCAGCCAGCGTGCCAGCAGCAAGCGATCGTTACTGTCGCTGTTGTTGTTGCAAGAGTGGGCAAGCAACATACAATCGCCAAGGCCAACAACACCCCCGTCCCCCAAAACGGCCCGTATCTGTTCTTCTTCGTTCCACAAATGGCGTGAGCCATCGCCATTCACGAGGCACACTCACGGACCCCAAATTTTATTAGGCTCTGCTCTTTTCGCTGGGTTAAATGCAATGGGCGGGAAACGATTTTGCTACGGCCCTGTGCTTCGGTCAGTCCCCCTTGTTTTTCTTTCATGTATGTACGGCTGATGTTTTTCGGCTCACCACTCATCATCATCATCATCACTGCCACGCATGACTATTTTTCTATTCAAAGGGTCATCTTGGTCGTACCATTTACTTATCAGGTGGGGAAGGAAAGAAAGAGACGCGGGTCCCCACATTCCAGCAGGTGCAGATATGCTGCTGTGTAAGCTGGGCGATCTCGCTCTGTTAGCAGAAGTATATATATTATGTACGTCGTTATCCAGTATAGAGCTGAGTAAAATAAGAGAAAGAAGAAAGAGAGAGAGAAAAAGAGAAAGAGCGTGAGCTTTTGTTATGCAGTATGCCGTCTCGCGCACATTTATTCTCCACACACTACTGTATATAACACAGCATAGAGTGCTACCAGATCCGACAGCTACAGGACCCCCACACAAGCCATCGAGGTCCCAAGATCCCCCAAAATGATTTTCACAAGCTGTTGGCTTGTCGGTGTCCTGTATTTTCCCCCGGCGATGGTGATGGGAAGGAGTACCGCTAGCATCTTGGCAGTCGGCTGTTGTCCCTGCTGCTACAACGATTCCGTAGTTTCGTACGTCGAGACACACACACACACACAGAGAGAGAGAGAGGGTAAGTTACCATCACTACGGATACTTGGCTCTATCCATCGGCGTCGGTTCCGGACCCTTAACCATTCATTGCCGATCCGTTGAGCAACAGTTACACATAATGCGCACTTTTAGCTCGTCATCTCCATCGGCAAAGGCTCGGTTTTCCCATATGCTATCATTCCGATGTACACAGAAACAGCAACAGGTCATCTCACGCTCTAATTTTCTTATTGCCCCAAAAGAGGGCGTGCGCGCGCGCTCGCTCGCTCATTTGACCTCATCCACTATCATTTCTCTCGCCATATTAGAGCGTTTGTTGTTCTAAAGCGCCATGTTATACAGTCATTTCAGAAAGTAAAGTCGCTGATTTTGAGTTTAATGTCGTGCAAAAAAATTGTGCGTTCAACAATGATGTCGAATGATCCAAAAATAAAGTCGTGCTCACGTGACTTTTATTTCTTCTTCCTATTTACAAACAGATATTGAAGATGAGTATGCAATTTTTCTACGAAGATGGACAAGGGCACGTTGTTGATGAGAATGGAGTTGAGCCGATGGATGTTGTTGTTGATGAGGAGCTATTCGCTATTGAAACAATAAGTTCTCGTGCTCAGTTCCTAATGAATAAACCTTCAAAAAGACCTAACCCTGTAATGCATCCAGTTATGGATAAGAGGAATAATGAAGATATTGATATGGAACTATGCAACAAGCGACGCTATACGGTTTACTCTGATGAAGACAAGACTAGATTCTTTCAGCAAATGCTTGAACGCTTCTGCTGCTGCAAGGCAATTAGGTATTCATATCCGAGCAGCACAGAGATGGGTCAAACGTCATTACGAGGACCCTTAAAGCATCTTTGAGAAGAAAAATAAGTCAGCTCGGCGTCGTATTCTTGGGGAAGAGCATAAACAATTATATTGATGAGAACCCTTCTGCCGTTGTCAATGAAGTGGTGGAAAGTATGAAACAAAACTTTAAAGGTCTCAACGTTTCTCGTAGTACTACTTACAGCTTTATGACAACTCGGTGTAATCTGTCAATCAAGCAAGCACGGTTTCATCCTGTGGAAAGGAACAGTGAGGAAAAGATTCAGCAAAGATACGACTGGGTCCAAAAGTGGCAGCAAACTGACCTGGATTTCACAACAAATTGTGTTTTTCTTGATGATGGATCAGCCTTTCACATTAATTTGAAACGGGGTATGGCTTGGTCAAAGAAAGGCACTCCTGCAATAGTTACAGTGCCTACGACGAAAGCAAATGCAACATCGATTCTAGGTGCAATAATATCCGCAAATGGCTTAATTAATGTTAGCTTGCGAGTTCCAAAGCGTATCAAAAAGAGAAAGCTTGGAAGTGCGACTGATGGTTATAGCACAGGGACAGTGACAGGCCATTATCTAAGCTTTGTAAAGGCTACTCTTGACGAGATGGACAAGTATCCCGAAATGAAGGGACATCACCTTGTCATAGATAATGCTCCTATTCACAATTCAGCAGACATTGGTAAGTATATTAATTCACGAGGATACAGATTCGTATATCTTCCTCCATAATATTCTCCTGAATTGAATGCGATTGAGCAGTTCTGGTCAGTTGTCAAAAGTAAGTTAAGCGAAATAAATTTTTGAAAAAGAATCGCTAATGGCTAGGATTAGTGAAGCATGCGATAGCTTGTATTTGAGTGATTTCAAAGGCTTTGTTTCTCATTCTGTCAAATGCTTTGATAAATGTTTAAAACAAGGAAAATTGTGAAGAGTTTTCTTTTTCTTTTTTTTTCTTTTCTTTTTGTACAGGCTGTCGTTTTACTGTGAACCGTATAATGAATGAAACGTCATCAAGTTATCAAAAGTTGATTGATGACATGAAATCTGCTACTCGGATGATCCAACAGAGCCTATGCTCCTTTGTCAAACAAGAATCAACCAAAACCCAGTCAAATTCAGCACGTACGTCAGCAGAAATGTGATTTCGTCGCGTATAATAGAGAATAAAATGGTTCAGGATCACATGGTTCTCAGTAAGATGCACAAATAAATGAAAGCACTGCTGATACTAGATAGTATTAACACTCTTGTTACTTTTATACAGCGAATCAACAACAGGTTGTGCAATTCTTGAATACATGTTTTCTACCTTATGATCCAGGTAACGACCAACTCTATGGAGAGAAAAATGTTACAAATGGCGACATATTTTCAAAAATATTGCAACACACAGAAATATTCAACAACAAGAGTTTCGCGTCTTTTAAAAATTGGTGTTCATCAAAGAAAGTTGACTTTTTGATGTGCAAGCCCAAAAGGAAACGTTATGCCAATAATTCAATGATCTCTGTTCGGTCGCTATACATTCTAAAGGAAGAATATTTTGGTAAGACGGGATGAATATGTGTTCCAAGAATACAAATGCAAAGGATAAATCTTTTTTTTGAAATTTTAGCCGAAATCGTGAAAAGGATTGTTCAATTCCTGACTAGATACCAAGCACAGATTCGAAATTTGAAGAAGCAAGGATTCAAAATACTGGTTTACGCAAGAAAGTCAGAAGGAGGAGATGAAGACCATGAAACACAGATCAAATTATTAAATCTTATGTGTCGACAGTTAAAAGAACGATCGTTGGTCGACCACGTGTTCGTCTCTTATAATTCTCAGGCTAATGATCCATTGGCAGAATAAACAATATTTAATATTTATATTTATAATACAAAAAAAGTTTATTATACTATATTTGATTTTCAATCGATTTAAACAAAATATTAAAGTTTTATTTGTTGTTAGTAATAGTTAGATTACAAATATAACTAATATATAAAAACTTTCTTCTTCTCCTCTCGCTTCAAGTCCTTGTCGAAGACAAGTTCCATGAGCGAAGCTCATCTTTTAATAAAATACTATAAAAGCTGTTTTTTTCAAATAAACATTATTGATACAAATATGATTATTTTAATAGTAAAGCCTCGATACTCTACGCTTTTAGGATCTGTCTTCAACAGAGACTGGAAGGTAGAGAGGAGAGGCAGAGAAGTTCTTCTTTGGATATGACCAGAAGAGATATTTTATTTTGATTTTTAATTTTTTTTTGTATTTTGTATAACATTTTTTTAATATACATATTAAATTCATGTTTTATAAACATATCTAACTCACAGTTAGATTATCACGTAAATTGAATATAGTGAATTAGTAGGTATTCATTTAATATGAGTTATGACCATTTTGATTAAAACTCTGCTGCAATGATTTATTTCTTCAAATATAAAAATTCAATTTTTAATTTTCATAATTTAGAAATGCTAAGATAATTATGAGAAGATATAATGAATAGAATATAATACCATTTATCTTAATTTTATAATTAAAATAGAAATTTTCAAATATAAATCATTATTTTATCAATAGTTAAAATGATATTAGTTTATTTTATATAGACCATTTGAAAAATATGTTATAATATTATTTGTTTTTCTTAAAAAAATATCTAATATATCAATAATAAAAAAATAAACTAATTTATGTTCTTATTAAATGATTTTGTATTAAAATAAGATTTTACTTTTTTATTTAATTACATTTTTAATCAATAAAGATTGTTCTTCTTAACTGAACGAGATATAGAGCAGAAAGATGAACTGCTCACACAGTTATCTATGGAAGGAACTACTCAAGGTAAGAAAATCAGTGTCTCATTGTATCCAAATTTATTGATTGCTTCTTTTTACTAGATTTGCTGGCGTACATTACAAATATGGGTCGCAGTTTGACAGGTTGGGTTGGGTCGGGTCAAGGGTCTGACCCATTGACCTGTGGGTCAAGAAAACACTGACCCGACCTGACCCGTTCAACCCGATGGGTCAAAACTCGGGTTGATGGGTCAAGACTGATTTCAATGTAGTGATGAAGGAAGTGTCGATCAGCCTGAACTTGAGCACTGGAAGTGCAAAACTCCATATATATATAGCTCTCTAAGATGATGGCACACAAATTCCTAGCAGTGCTAGCAACATCTACGTTTTAAGTGATTATTCTTAAAGGTAAAGGGTTCTGTGCCATCACAAAAGAAATTACTTAGGCTCACATGCTTTAAAGAAAGCATAATCTTTAAAGTGTGGTTGAAAATCGACTTCCCTATATGCCCCTTATCCTTTTCCCTTTTCCCTTTTCTTTTCACTTCTTTCTCCTTCCTTCAATTTTCTTTTCTCAATCCCTTTTCTGTTTTTTGTTAAATCGCGTCTCTTACTGCCACCCTCTATTATATATTCTCATTGCACTATTGCTACTTCTTGCCTCCTATCATATATATTGCTCATAGCTGACTTATCCCATACTGTTGAATATAAAGTATAATCCCACAATAAAAAGAATTAAGTACGTTTTATGCTATAGTTCTAAAGCAGACATATTGACAACTAATGATGTTTCCCAATAAGAAGATTGACTACTTAAATATAAGTACCTCATATATATTATATGTATACACGGGTCACGACAGGTCAACGGGTCGGGTCAAGGGTTGGACGGGTCGACCCGCGGGTTAGAAAAGCATCAACCCGACCCATTGACCCGTCCTCAACCCGTGGGTTGGTTTTGACCCACGGGTCAGATTGCGACCCCTATTACAAATACAGAAAAACTTTGCTTGGTAGTATTGGACTACTACGCTGGTTTATCAACCAAGTGCAATGACTTGTACGGATTCTTGACGTAAGCAGATAGTTATGGAACCCTATGAAATCAGAATAGCTCATTAACTGCTTTTTGTAATAGACAACATCCACTGCAAAAAATAAGGGGTATCAATAAGGTATCAAATTTTGATAACTCAGATATTATAACGGATCAACATGGTATCAATAAGGTATCAACATTTTTTTGATACTCCTAGTATCATTAGGGTATCATTAGGGTATCATTAGGGTATCATTAGGGTATCATTATTTGATATCCACTCAATTATTTTACAAGTAGTCAGCTCACTAGTAACTGTCAAAACACTCGGTGCAAAAACAAGCAATCTCACTAATGGTCATCGGTATACTCTCAAACCTTCAGATCTCTTTTCAAAATCGTCCAGCAACATCGACACTTTATATGATGATCAATCTAAATCAACCACAAACCGCCTCTATTTTTTAGTAGTAAAACGTACAGCGAAAGTATTTCTAAGCACTTTATCGAAAAATAATGTAAAGCTTCTCAAGAAAAAGTAAAAAGAAAAAGTAATTTTCATCAAAAATAAAGACCCATGAAGAGGCTGCATCTGGCAATGTCGTCTGCTCAGACCTTCTCTTCTTGATCCACAAGGTGTATACACTACCATCGTGGATACGGTTTTTGTATATGTTAATGATCATGATGTTGACATTTGAGGTATCATAATGTTATTGCTGGTGCCGAATTAGTAATTTGGGACCCGGTTCACATTATTTAAATCTGAGAACGATGAGCGATCAAAACACTCTTTCTTTCCGTTTTATGTTTCTTTCTGATTCTACTTCCCGCTTGCATTTACTCTTGGTTCGCGCCGCCATTGTCCAAAAGGTGAAGCAATCTCAATGAAGTGTGTGCTTATAAGTGATATACTATCAATGCCTTTGTCCATAACCTCATTGACTCACTCTTATATGCACGTTTTATTAAGCAGTGTCAAACTAACACGAATTATTACGTTTGATACTCATCGGCACCTCTTTCATTTCGTACGAAGTATCTTTATGCTCTGGTAAGCCATTTCCTTTCATAACAGTTTGCTGTTTTATACGCTGATTTTGTTGCTAAAAGTAAAAACTACTTGAAACGCCCATCATGTTGCTAACTCCCATGCTCGGCTTCCTTCCGTAGAATTGTGTAACATAGATAGAGATTACGCGTTTCTCGGCGCAAGATGTCCCTTACTACTTCCATACCACCACTGCTTGACTGTCTGCCGGTAATCCCCATTCCATTCATTGGTAAGCGTGATTGTCTCGTCTTGCTCTAACATACCATAATATGCTAATTTCTGACTGTCACTTAATTACTTGGTGCTTCGATAATCATTAAGATCTGTTATCACTAACGACCACAAACTGTAAGATGGCCTTTCATTTTATCTCTGCTATTTCCACTATATATAACTGGTTATCATTATCTTTTAATATCGCTTTTCACTATTGCCCGTCACCTGTCCAGCTCCATTTGAATCTTGCTGTCTAGTATTCTAACCATTATATTTCTATCTCAAGTTGTAATACTAATATGGTGGTAAGTAAAACATGAGAAGTAGTGTATTCTGGAACGCATGGAATCATATAATAGTTACCATATAGTATGTAGTATGTAGTATAGTGCTGTATTATAATATCATATATACGAAATAAACCACCGTTTCCCAATCAAATATTTCTATACCTTTCTTTCTATTGGATATTATGAGATTTATCAGCTTTATAACAGCAATCTCATTGGATATGGCCAGAAACGCCTGTTAATTACTTGCGATTCTATTGGAAGCTATAGTTGTTGATACCATTATGATATCTGAGAAATCAAATGTTGATAACCTAAGAATCAAAAGTTGATATCTAAAAAGTCAAAAGTTAATATCCTAAAAGCCAAAAGTTGATATCCTAAAAGTCAAATGTTGATACCCACATGCATAACTCAGCAATCAAAATTTAATCATCTGGGTATCAACATAGTATCATTATTTTGATACCACCTTTTTTTTGCAGTGATCCAAAGCCAAACCTTGAAAAAGTCATGATTGACACCATGCCAACCAAGAGCGTCATTCATGTATATGAACGAAATCAGCTATTGAATAAGCCAGAAATGTTAAAAAAATTTGAATGTAGGAAGAAGCCACATCAACGATCAAAGTAGGAAAGATTTATTATTGTGTCCAAAATTTGTATGTTTAAATAAAAAAATATGACAAAAATGTATGAATTGTGTTTTCTCTCATCCATTGGCATGATTGTTGTCCTTGTCCTTTTTACAGTCCTTCAGAAAAGCAGGATATTGATGATATCTGAAGGGACTAGCGTAGAGTGATTTAAGTGAGATTAACATAGGCTTTGTTGGATCATCCGAGTAGCAGATTTCGATATTGTTCATGTCATCAATCAACTTTTGATAACTTGATGACGTTTCATTCATTATACGGTTCACAGTAAAATGACAGCCTGCACAAAAAGAAAAGAAAAAAAAGAAAAAGAAAACTCTTCACAATCTCTCCTTGTTTTAAACATTTATCAAAGCATTTGACAGAATGAGAAACAAAGCCTTTGAAATCACTCAAATACAAGCTATCGCATGCTTCACTAATCCTAACCATTAGCGATTCTTTTTCATAAATTTATTTCGCTTAACTTACTTTTGACAACTGACCAGAACTGCTCAATCGCATTCAGTTCAGGAGAATATTATGGAGGAAGATATACGAATCTGTATCCTCGTGAATTGATATACTTACCAATGTCTGCTGAATTGTGAATAGGAGCATTATCTATGACAAGGTAGTGTCCCTTCATTTCGGGATACTTGTCCATCTCGTCAAGAGTAGCCTTTACAAAGCTTAGATAATGGCCTGTCACTGTCCCTGTGCTATAACCATCAGTCGCACTTCCAAGCTTTCTCTTTTTGATACGCTTTGGAACTCGCAAGCTAACATTAATTAAGCCATTTGCGGATATTATTGCACCTAGAATCGATGTTGCATTTGCTTTCGTCATAGGCACTGTAACTATTGCAGGAGTGCCTTTCTTTGACCAAGCCATACCCCGTTTCAAATTAATGTGAAAGGCTGATCCATCATCAAGAAAAACACAATTTGTTGTGAAATCCAGGTCAGTTTGCTGCCACTTTTGGACCCAGTCGTATCTTTGCTGAATCTTTTCCTCACTGTTCCTTTCCACAGGATGAAACCGTGCTTGCTTAATTGACAGATTACACCGAGTTGTCATAAAGTTGTAAACAGTACTACGAGAAACGTTGAGACCTTCAAAGTTTTGTTTCATACTTTCCACCACTTCATTGACAACGGCAGAAGGGTCATCATCAATATAATTTAAAAGAAACTGTTCATGCTCTTCCCCAAGAATACGACGCCGACCTGACTTCTTTTTCTTCTCAAAGATGCTTCAAGGGTCCTCGTAATGACGTTTGACCCATCTCTGTGCTGCTCGGATATGAATACCTAATTGCCTTGCAGCAGCAGAAGCGTTCAAGCATTTGCTGTAAAATAAATGAAAAAATCTAGTCTTGTCTTCATCAGAGTAAACCGTATAGCGTCGCTTGTTGCATAGTTCCATATCAATATCTTCACCATTCCTCTTATCCATAACTGGATGCATTACAGGGTTAGGTCTTTCTGAAGGTTCATTCATTAGGAACTGAGTACGAGAACTTATTGTTTCAATAGCGAATAGCTCCTCATCAACAACAACATCCATCGGCTCAACTCCATTCTCATCAACAACGTGCCCTTGTCCATCTTCATAAAAAAATTGCATACTCATCTTCAATATCTGTAGAATAAATTATAAATAGGATAATTCATGACACGTGAGCACGACTTTATTTTGGATCAATCGACATCATTGTTGAACGCACACTTTTTTGCACGACATTAAACTCAAAATCAGCGACTTTACTTTCTGAAGTGACTGTACAAACCCCAAAATGACGTGACATGTTCTTGTTAAGGCTAGACCAGCACCTTCATTATCGCATACTTTGGCTCAGCAAGAAAAATACTTGTTCTGTTTTCTAAAAACATTCACTACTGCTTTTTTTCGACAGGATCGTTTTAAAATATAAAGACCAGAGAACTGTCATTGCTAACCACAGAAAATGATATAGTCTACTGCGTAAATGCTGGACGACTTTGAAATAAATATTTTTAGTGTCGTCATCATGATAATAACGATTCTCTTTTGTGTATCTGACAGTGATAGATCTCTTATCAAATCCATATATGTATGACAAGTAGTACAGTAACAGCAGCAACGGTATAGTAACACGTCGGATGAGACGCACACATACCATCAAGGACGTACACGACGATGGACCCTAGCACTACCGCTCCCGTGCCCGTTCGAGTATAGAAGTGCTCACAAAACTGAACGAATCAGGTTGAAATATGCAGTTGGGCATGAGCCTCTCCCTTTCTCTTCAACATTGGTGGATTTATACCGATAGCGACGTGGACATGAATTCTGTTATTGCGCACGTTCCTTCCATTCTTTCTTTTCATCTTCCAAGATTATCCCCATTCGAAGAAAACAGGCTCTCCTCAACCTTTAGTCGATCAGTCGATCATCTTCTTTTTCCTTCACGTGCCAGTACATAATAGTCAATCACGCTGTTTGGTTTTGCACCATAATGGTTATCTTGACAAGCAGGCACCTCCTCTCCTTAATTTTGTCATCCTTTGCATTCCTTGTTAGAGGATTAGAGTTGTATGGAATATGTATGTACAGTATGGTATATGTTTGAGAGAGTTTGGGGTTCTAGTTGTTGGCTGTTGTATAACTTCCATCGTCTTCTTTTTGCTCTCACAGAAAGCAAGGAATAGGAGGCTTTCTCTTTCAGTAAGCACGCAGATTATTATTCTTCTCTCACAATTCTCTTCTTTCATATTGTTTTAAACGATGTGTATCGTTGATAATTCCAGACTAATGATTTATTATTGCTCAAATTCTTTCCACCGTCTATTATAAGCTCGGATTATGTATGTAATGTAAAGTATATTCAATATCATCATCAAAGGGGGGGTGCACCCGAGCTCTATCAACAAGTCGCTAGTGATTGGTATACCGTCATGTGACGACCCCACCCATCACCGCCCCCCGGTTCTATGCTTCCTGCTTCTGTCAAACAGCGGCATATAATGCGGACCTGACGTGCTGTTGATATCATTTTTAATGGTGATGACTGTATCCCAAACATAAATTGGAAAGTAGTGCACGCACAGCCCACATACATTACACATTCGCTCAGACCATTTGCTAATCATGCGCAGCGACGGACGACGAGTATTAAGATTATGATTTTACCGATGGTTCCTAAATGAAATCTCTCTTTTTTGAAAGTATGCTGTACATTAATGTAGTAGTGCGTATAGTACTATACAAGTGCAGAAAACAAAAGAAGTATAACTGATGTGGTCATGAAGAATGTACACAAACAAAATGGCTGGCCGCACATGTCAAACACGCAGAATCAACAGCAACAACATGGCTACTAAATACCGCTGTTGCTGCCACTGCTATTGTTGTTGTCATAGGTCTTATAGTAAGCGCAAAATCTACAAACATCACCAAGTCAAAAGAAAACGCTACATAGTAGCTCCATTAGAATCCCCGGTATACGACCCCGATCCGACGTTCCCCGCATTTTGTTGCTAAGTTCTCTAACACGACAAACAACAATAATGCAGGCTGTACTTTCCTCGTAAGAAAATGCGCTGTTTGTCGGCTTGATAGAGGAAGAGAAGATGCGGGGTTTGGGCCGGCGTGGGAGTCGCACTGTGTGAGTGAACATGTATAAAGATAAGCGATACGATGATGATGCCATACGCAATTGATAGGCGCTTTGTTTGTTCCATCACCAATGCTTCTTTCCGGACCATTCAAACTTAAATGTGACTCCATCTCAAGGTATAGTGTATACCAACAGCAAAATGATGAATGCATGATTACGGCGCCGTTGTTGTTGTTGTTGCCCCTTTTTTCATCATTGTCAAAGATTTAGATTATGCATCTGTTCTTCTTCTGCTGCTACCATGCGATGAAATGTAGCAGCAATATCTACTTTGTTATTACAGAACAGAGATAGAAGACGGCGGTTTCCCCACAGAATGGTATATGAATATTTTGTTTAAGATGGATCGGGTATTGTGCATGCTTTTAAAACACACAACAAACAACATTCAATCTTTTTCGAGTAATTACATGTAGTCTGAACATCAGAAAGTATAAGTCGCTGTCATCGGCAAGAATAAGCATTATTTCCCTGACATGATCAAATGCTATTATTACTTTGGACGGTTTCCTAATATTTACTGGGCTGCTGCCCGTAATATGGTACACCGTCGTAAGTTGTACTGACTATCATAATAATTCGAGACTCCCTCTTTTCATATTAGACGTATGCAGCTCCCTGTTACTTTATGCAGCACCATCTCGCTTTATGCATAAAATGCTGTGTGGAATTCTCTTTTATAACCAGAGAGTGTGTGGATTGGTCGGTCAGCATGATGACTCAACAACTACAAGCAGGATGATGAGCAGACAGAGATAGACGTACAGAGAGAGAGGGAGATGTCAGTACCATGTAATTCACTACACAATCCCGGGTATCTCCATTCGTTTCCTTTGGCTTGTTTCTCAAAGCTGCGTTTCGTAACAACAAGGGTAGTTTCTATGCAACAAGCAACGATACATCCACTGTGTACCTAGTCTTAAAAAATTGTACTGAGCTCTCTTTAACAAGGCCGGCTCGGCAGGACCAACTCCGAAGCTACTACACTACTCCTCGCTTCTTATCGTTCGTAAAAAAGCTAGCTGTCAAAATGGCCATTGTTATAGAGAAAAAGAAACCATTGACACTGGTGATGACATTTGACGAAAAGAATCGCAAGGTATGTGTGTACATACGTGTATACTTTGTTTTTGATTGTGCAGGAATCGTTGCATAAAGTAGTGTTTCGCGCGTTTAAAACAGTTGTGTACCCTCTGTCAAAATTAAGGTCCTTCTCGGAATGAAGAAACGTGGTTTTGGTGCCAACAAATTCAACGGTAGGTATATATATATATGAATTGCAGAAGCCCGTCTGAATCTCGCGATTGATTACTCAACTATTGAAAAAGGTTTCGGCGGCAAGCTTGAGCCCGGGGAAACAGTTGTGCAAGCCGCGCATAGAGAACTCGAGGTTCGTGTCATTTTCTTCTGAGAAGGAGCAGGAGGAGGAAGTGAAGAGATACACGCAACCATGGTGATTTATAAAAGATACTTATATAATTGGGTCGGTAATAGGAAGAAGCCATGATCTGTGCCCTGAACATGAATAAAATCGGCATCAACCTCTTTACGTTTGAAAATGACCCAGTCGCGTTAGAAGTACACGTGTTCCGAAGTACTGAATACCAAGGCACACCTACAGAGTAAATAAGCTTATTGTGCTCTTTCGACTGGGGCCGATATACATGATGTATATCTACTGCAGAAGGAGTTTCTATTAACAATGAACTTAATTATAGAACGGAGGAAATGCGACCTGAATGGTTTTCGTATGACGATATCCCATTTGACACAATGTGGGCAGATGACCGATTATGGTTCCCGTACCTGTTGCAAGGTCAGCATTTTCTCGGCGAGTTCCATTTTTCAAAGGTACCCCATCTGTTTATTTCTTTTTCGATATGTTATACACACTGTACATATGCACATCGTCATCTCCACGTGTGTCATGTATTCTAGACATACATTCTATTCCGACATATTCCATCATCTCACATCATCCAAACACATCACACTTTGTATGTATGTACGATAACGTTAGGATCAAAAACGGATTATGGAACAGGATCTTCGTGCGGTGTCTCAGGTTCCTGACGAGTATGACCTTTCACAGCGTAAACTAGCATAATAATCATACATATTCTTCTCTGTTTGTACTATATCCTCCTTCATCTTTCTCTGCCACACTCGCTGAAAAAGATGCGGCTTTTCATACAAGCTTTTGGTTTAGCTACTTATTGTGATTGACTTTTTCTTTACTTATTATTTGGAGGTGTATATGGTTACTTGGAGATAAGCGCGTGAGGAGTGTATAGGAGCCTGAATATCCATCATGTGAGTTAGAAAGAAAAGTGCGGGGACATCATCATACTGCAACGACTCAGCGGCGATAATGAGAGCGGTCGCGACTGATAAAAGACGGCGTACACGAGGGAAAAACGGGGATGGTGGACTGGCCCTTGCTCCCTTACCCCACCCCGTCACACTCTCTTTAGAGTAGCAGTATTATAATAGTGCGCCAGGACACTGTTCTATGTGGTTCCACCAAGTATGGTCCTTCATGTTTCTCTTTTCAACAATATATTCAATTACGCACAGAGAAGAATTTAAAGGCTGAAGGTATCACACAGACCGTTAGCTTTGGGCCGCTGATATTCTTCCTCTTTCACTAATTGATTCTTTCACTACATAGTTCCCCTTCACTTTAGTTAAACAAAGGATATGTAAACTTATGGTAGTATGTTAAAGGTATATAACATAACGATTGCATATTACTGTGGTATACAACGCAGCCTTTATCAGCTGCGAGAAATCACTTTGTATCATATAACAGGGCTATATTCAGGCGGAATACATAGTATCATCATTTTTGGAAAGTAAAATGTAGGCGCTCTGATAAGAACCATCCTGAAGAAAATCAATCGTGTGGAAGAAAACACCATCCAGTACTCTCGAGGCCGAGGCCGGTCATGGTCTAATTTTTGATAGGGTCTAAAAATGAAGACAGAAAGGAAGGTGGAATCATGTTGGCCAATCAGATGGCAGGGTGGGGAAGGTAAGCAAAAGGATGCCATTAATTTATGCAGCTTTACAGAGAACTGCTTGTTGGTAACTTTTACGCATACAAGATCTCATTGTATTGTAACCAGCACCCATGCATAACGAAATGTTACGCTGTTGTGTTTAAACAAACATTGAGAAAAACACGCTGTACGTTTCAGTAATGCTAAACGTATCTGCCCAACTCCTTCATAAGGTGTGAGGTTTCACTATTGTGTGTGCGTGTGTGCGCGGAAATTCGGTGGAATTTTTTTTCCATTATATATTCTTTTGCATGATTATGACGTCCTCGAATTCATAAACATGCGGCTTTTTCCCCTGCAACTCAACATTCGCACTCTTCGTGGTCGTTTTTTACTCGCTTCTTTCTCTACGCACACAAACGCACCTTACGCACCAAGAAACATAACAACAATGTCTTCATCACTTTTTATCCCAAGAACACCAGTAAATCCACGAAAATATGCCTTTTTGCTGCCCGGCATCACACCTCGAACGCTATCGCAATCCGAACATTTGCTTGAAAAAAACCATACCGAGCATCATATCTTCTTCAACGAGAGCGGCTTTCACAAGTAATATCATTTTCATTTTATTTCCCACACTCAAGGCACTGAAATTTTAACCGGGATTACCGACTTGTTTGTGTAGCCATCTCGTTCATCATTATTTAGCAGCCTATTCACTGGGTGCCGACAACAAACGACTAAAGGAAATCTATGACGATCACGCCTCGTATCAGCGCAAACTCCCGCCTTCAGTGGGTGAGCTTACTCGAGAAAACTACAAAAACGAGCTCGGTAACCGAGAAGCATACACGAGCTACCTGCGTCTGTTCCAAAAAGAGATTGAAAAATATGGCATGGTGGACTCGATCCGACGATGGATGTTTGCAGACGACATGCTGGCTCGAACGGTGGGCGGAGCGTACCATCCATTGATTCATTTGGGTTATGCCGTTGAATTTGATTTACCGGCCGTGGCAGCAGAAGGATTGGCCATGGCAGCTTGTACGGAAGCTAATTTGAGCCCTCTGATACCGAACTTACCGTCGTTGCAGGAGATTCTTGTGCCCGTTCAGGCTGCATCCATGGCATCTAGTGCACGCGATATGGTATCTAAGGTGACAAATGATGTGGCAACAAAGCTCGGTTTTGGTGGAAGTGGTAGTATTACTAGTAGCGGAGCACAATACCAGCAACGTGACAAGAAGGATCCCGAATCAGCAAATAGCTTGACAGCAACAGACATGACAGCCAGCTTGAAGGAGGCAATGAATAACAATGCGGTCGTCGATCTGGCCGAGGAAATCCACAGAGACACTGACTTTGATGGCGTGGTCAAGTTTAAGGACTCAAACAAGATTCGTGCCTTCTTGGCCAATCCAAAGGGGGTTGAAAAGCTCAAGGTTTATGCCTCGCGATGGCATGTCCATGGTAGATATTGCGAAAAAAGAAAGCATGTATCTGATAAAAGAGTTTCAAAACTAATTGCACATGATATATATCTTTAGATGAAGATAAGGACTTACAAGCTAAACTTAAAGAGATGTATACCGCATGCATGCTCATTTACGGCGCATCCGCTATTCGGGAACAAGGCATCAAACTGGACTTCTTCTTGATGCATGCACTGACATCCATCCATGCCGTTCATCTGTTAATGCCACACCTGGCTCCCAACGAATTCGCTGCACTGCTACGAGGTCACGCAGCAACAACACTCGCATACTACATTTCACGCGGCCGACCTAGCCTTCAAGTGGATCTCCTCCTTAAGTATGAATCAGACGAAGCTACCAATAACTCGGCTAATCCATGGCTCAAGATTTGTGAGCGCGCAATCAATGCTCCGGAGGCACATATCATCAAGGTTATACGCGCATGTGCTGTTGGACAAGTTGTTTACGGCCACGACAGACGCAGTGAACCTTTTGAAAAGGCGTGGGTCCGACTTGCCGACATGACACTCAAAATTGCTGGCAACAAGGTGGACGATGATAGTTATTGGAACCACAAAGGCATTGGTTTTGACGAAGCTTGGCAGTAATAAAATCATTATTATGCCAGCAATTACGTTCAATAAAGTTCGAGGGTGGGGTGGGGGAGGTTTACCACTTTGTTGGAGCATATTACTCTCAACGGTGACACGGGGTGCAATACCTCATTTCGTTTCTTACCTTAACCGTGTATAATTCATATATGGCAGCGGCAACACTATAAAAGACGCCTACACTGGTCGAGCATGGTGAAACTTACAATTTGCTCGCAATGTCATGCCTCGCCTTGTCAACCACACAACGTGATTTCCAACAATAAAGACAACTTATGCTGCGCGCGATTACGATCAAGCAGAAGCTTATTTCACCAAGGTCATTGACAACTTACAAGCTAAATGTCACGGCTTTATTTTACCGCGCTGCCACCTACTAAATGCAGAACAAACTCGAGCTCGCTCTTAATGACAGTCAACAGGCCAATCCACACAATGCCAGTGCCTGTCCTGACGCGCTCCTGTCGGCGGCAAACTCTCAAATATTACAAGGCGATTTTCGTGCAGCCTTTTTAACTTACAATCAAGATGCAGCAGCAGTCTCGGCCTTAGCCTTTGCATACGAGCAACTCGACAAAAGACATCGTCAGCTCGTAGCAGCCGTCAGCAAACACAATATACCAAACGAAATAATTATATGCATTCTAACGCAGCTACAAAGATTTTATACAGCTAGCACTCACATCACGTTTCTGGTATGCGCTTGTTAAGGACAGATGGGCGTCCCTGTGGAGCGTATATGACATGAAAAAAAGCACTCAAAACACTCTCAAAAGTATCCGAGATACTCGAGACGCTTTCTGGCGATAAAGCAGAAGCGGTAGTAAAAAATAATTGCACTTCAGTCAAACACCATGCGCAAGAGTAGTTATTGAATGTGCTGAAGGTTGTGGCAGCATAAATGGAGCGCTATTACTGTACTGACTTGGATATTGCGCAAGAAAGGTTTAGATAAAAATAATCATCCTTCCTGTTTATACTATTGCAGAGATTGGCTATTTCGACCGAACTGGGCTCACGCCTCTGTTCATACATGTCAATGACAGATTATGGTCTTGCAACAACCTGTATCTTACCAAATTTAAGCTTTCAGGTTCAGATGCTACCAAGTACGAATTGTCTAGCATTGTGCAATCATCAAAACACTTGACGTCATTGACAATCGACAGCCTAGAGTACCAGAGCTGTATTGCGCGTGTCTTGCCGATCGTTGCAAACAACTTCCCAAATATCCAGGAGTTCTTGTTCACAGATTTCCCGAGCGGTGTCACCATACGCTCGATCATTACCCTCATCATCATCATTGTCATCCACAAGGCTGTCGACGGAGAAGAAGAAGGGCCGCAAATGCTTGTACTACACCAAGCGATCCTTCAAACACTTGATCGATACCTTGCAAGCTTTTAGCGATAAAAAGTAGCGAGCCATTTGATATTTTCTGCGAGCGCTATGGCTCAGTGCAAGCTTTGACACAGAGTACGGGGCAAATGAGTTGCACACGCTCACTCTCACCTCCAAACGTCCGAGACTTACGCATTCAGACGTAGCTTTATCGCGCTCATTGCTGCTTGCTCAACTTCATTTCAGCATATCCACATCGCAGGAAAAGTGTTCTTAGATTAGCGGTTCTCTGACGCACTAGCGACTCTCGGCCAGCTTAGAACATTACATTTCCTGCATTAAAATATATATTATTTTTATAACAATGCTAATTATGACGATATTGACAACGAAAATAAATTGTTGGGAGAGAAGAGGAACGCGATAAACAAAGGAAAAAGCGTTAGGAATGTATGCAGCAGTAGCAAACGACACTATCGCCCATGATGGACGTCAGCTAGAACCCATTTTTAACATCGCACAACAATTACTTCCTTGACTGCGGATTTACATGTATAGCAGACGACGGAAGAGATTGGTACTTACTCGAATTTGCGCAGTGCGTTCCTCGTTCAATCAATATGCGCAGATCAAACCTGAAAACCATCTCTATGTCCAAGCAGACATTTCTGTTCTGTTTGGGACACTTGCGGAAATCAAGGTCCCTGCGACATCAAGAATCGTGCTGCTCTCTCGGGACCAGGTCGGATCTCTACTATGAGAATGGGGAGCACGAAGAGGATCAAGCGAAAATGAAAGGAGAAGACGATGATCTTGCGCACGCTTTAATAACACTTAAGTCATTGACATAATTATTGTTGTATCTTGTTGGGTTATCGGCAGACTTGCCATCCCCAACAAGCTATATGATAAATAGACTAGCGGTCGAGACACTTTATTTCACATTGGCCGGTTCAAGGCAGGAAAACGCCCAGCTACTACTGCTACTAAGGACGCCAGTATAGCCGAAATCCGATAATAAAGGTGTATCCATGTAATCAGTACAATAAATCTGTCGGTAATAAGTCTAACAATCATTTCGACGAATACCCAGTGTAACTGGATGTCAGGACCAAAGCATAGCTAGGTAGGTCAAAAGCATAGTGCATAGATTAAACGAACAGTGATAGTTTCTTCTTGGACCTTCATTTATTGATGCCTCTTTGCTGTAATGACTGTTTCCAAGGATACTCTGGCTTTGTTTCGATCCATGCATTGCCTGAATGCGGTCCAGCAAGATTTGATATCCCGAAACCGCCACACGCCCGTTCGTCGGCAACCCCCCTCGAAACGCCCAGTTCGTGTTTCAAAAACCCAACCCTCTTTTTCTGAGAACATCTCTGTCCTGCACGTTCAATGAAGTACACTCTTGTTTCCGTACCTGCATTAGGCCAGAGCCAAAACACGCTCTTGAACATCAAGAGCAAATTAGCCCCATTTGCCGAGACTCATCCTTTCAACATTCCCGAGTTTAAGGTATAAGAATGGGTACTTGCTTGCGGATTTGTCACTTTGTGGGGATGCACGGTTTTTTTTTCTTACTCACCGCATGCACTTATATATTGAAATGTAGATTGGCACATTGGACGCTCTTGTGCTTTTGTCGGATGACCTCACTAAACATGACAACGCATTTGAACAAGCTGTTAACAAGCTTGCAGATATCCTTGGTAACTTGGTCAAAGGACAGCCCGACGCTTTAGTTCAGGACTTTTTGTTGGTGAACGACAGTAAGATTTTTGGTTCTTCTATTTTCGCTAGAGGAAAGAAAGATAGGGAATATAGAAAGCTTAGTAGATATTGTTATGATGATGCAATAGAGACGGTGGATCAATATGTGAATACATTCCAGTGGAACAGCATGAAATACCGTACCGATAAATCGCTTCAAGAAACCACGTCGATGTTGACGCAAGTAAGGGGATCATCATCATAATATACCAATATCCTCGCAACGTATGTATTCAGCCATTTGAATAAAAAGCTGACAATGCGGTACTGTAGGAAATGACGTCGATGGATAATTTGATAAAGAACAAGATGAATGCGTATACCCAAAACAAAAATGCTCTTCAGGCACTTCAGCGCAAGCAAACGTAAATTAAGTTTTTTCGAAAGTTGGTTTAAACGCGATGGGCTCAAAGAAAAGTAATACTTACTCTTTTATTGATAGTGGCAATCTGTCAGTGAAGAACTTGAACGGCATTGTAAAGAAGGAACACTGTGTGCTGAACTCAGAGTACCTTACGACCTTATTTGTTGCTGTACCAAAGTAAGGAACAGCTTTTACTTGGAGACACCGTCATTTTACTTTGTTACTGACCAACAGTCCATCTTGATAGGACCCAATACAAGCAATGGAATAACACGTACGAGACACTCGTTTCCATGGTCGTTCCTCGTTCTTCTGTGTAAGTGGCTATGCTAGTCCGTGAACAGGTTTGATGAATCTGAGGTTTCTTTTTGTTCATGCGATCATCCTTTTGTTATATAATGAATAGCAAGATCTCCGAGGATTCAGAATACGGTTTATTCTCCATTACATTATTCCAGCGTGTGGTGGATGAGTTTACTCACAAGGCTCGTGAAGAAAAGTAAGTGGCTTCGCATTTGTTTCTATCTCTATATCCCTTCAACGTTTCGAAACAAACATTAAGGACTCAACGCATAACGGTTGCTGTAAAGATTTATCGTAAGAGATTTCCAGTTTGATGAAGACGCATTGAGACAACAAGAACGCGAGCTTTTGGAGACCGAAGAAACGGAACGTGAACAACAGACTGAATTGATCCGTCTGTCGCGAACCAACTTTAGCGAAATGTTTTCTTCGTGGGTGCATTTGAAGGCACTTCGTGTGTTTGTCGAGTCTGTGCTAAGATACGGATTGCCACCAGATTTCACTTGCGTCACCATTGCTGTAAGCTAACCTTTGATATGTATTTGCATAAATATGCTTATCCGTTAGAACTAACGATGTATGTTGAAACATTTGCTTGACCGGACCGACATAGGCTGAGCCCAAGTTTGAAGCCAAGGTGGATCAGACACTTGTGGAACAGTATGGTCATCTCGGCGGTGTGCACGGTATGAATAAGCAACAGCGACAAGAAAACAATGAAGAACTCTTGGACCACGAATTGCAATCGGTCAACAGCACTGGCTACCGACCTTATGTGCAATTTGAGCTTGAATTTGACCTGGAGCGTAGATAGAGAAGCAAGAAAAGATGTATAAAAATTCCTACCCTTTTATCCAGACCCAATCCCTCAACCCACCCCCAACCAGTCCATACACCTGCCATTTTTCACACTGACCAAAGATCGATGAAACAACAAGAATAACTGTACTTAAAGCAAAGAACACGAAGCAGGAAAAGAAAACCCGAAAAAAAAAGGGATCACTCGTGGTGCTCGAAAGCTTATTGGATCAATCCATATATTAACTAGAAACAAAGTACTTGCGTACATACAGATTTCATGCCGATCCCTGACGGTTCCCATGGCCGTTGTTGTTATTGTTTTTGTTGGCAAAACATTCAAGGGACACGGTACCCAACAGCTTCTTCGAGCCGCCGCTATCGAAACGGCTTATACAGAAGAGTCGCTTGCTATCATGCTTGTGATGGAGAAAACTAGTTGTGGTAGCGGCAAACGTGTGGATCTGGAAATCCCGCTTTTTCTTTCTTTTTAGTTTTGCGCGAGGCCCTTTTCTCTTTCTCTCCCTTCCACACACACACGCACACCTCAAGGACACACAAAAGCTCTCTTTTTCGAGTGTATATACTATACTTTCTCTCTTCAAAGAGAACCAAGCGATATATTTGTTGCTCCTACCCCGTCCACCCCTTTCTACCGATATATAATATCATTATCACTCCACCAAAACGGCATCAAACATATAATGACCTCGGAATCGCCTATTCTCCAAGTTCCTGAACCCGACAATAACTATAGTGGTGGTAATGGTGGCCAGGATGACCTAATTTATCAACAACAGCAAGGTGGAGATGACGACGGATTCGACAATCCAGAAGATGCCATTCCACAACGACTTAAGCTTGATTTGCGAGGTTCACGGGTCGACTTGGATCGTGACACTTTGGTCAATTTGCCCGAAAGCTTATTGATTGCCATGTTTCCCAATGGGCTTGTTCTCGGTCGACAAGACGATATATTCGAAGACGACGAGGATGAATATGGTGAAAACCATTCGCGCGACTCGGTCGGCATTGAAGACCAAGTCAATTACGTTGACTTTGACCCAATGTGTTTGGATTATGTTTTACGATTTTACCAGTATGCTCGAGAACAACATGAAAAATCGACAGCAGCGGCAGCAGGAGGGACAGGAGCAACAGCTGAAGGAGGAGGGGAAGATGTCTCTTCCCCCGAACATTATCATCAACAGCTGGCAGCAGCCACCGCAACCTCGTCTGTGTACTATCCACTGTTAACCAAACAGCCTATCATTGTTTTGCGCGAGGAATTGGAGTACTATTGTATTCCCGTGTCATCGGCATCATCATCGTCGGCAGCAGCAGCAGCAGCAGCAGCAGCAGCGGGAACAGCACAGATGGACATGGCACAACTCAAGGTTGCTTGCGGCCATCATCTGAAGCAACACGATCACATCTTTGATGCGTTGCAGAAAAACATCTCGCGAGAGAACAATGTCGCAGAACAACACTTGATTGATATGCTATGCGATGCTGGATTCATGCGTGACGATCGATGGGGCTACAGAGAACTAGAACCGATGCGCACCTGCGTTGTCAGCATGGCGCTGGTGCTATTGAAGACGACCGGGCCTAACAATCACATGGCAACTGCCCAGAAGCTTTTACTCTTTTGGAGAAAACCCGCGGTAAGAGCGCACTTTGTCAAAATCATATAAGACTCTTCTTTTCTTTTTGCTAATGTTGTCATCGATCACCATTGTCGTCGTTGTCGTCGTTATAGAGAAAGTGCTGGTGGGATGGCACTACAAGTGAAGTGCAAGAACAAAAGGTTCGATTGTGGGCACGACGCACTTGGACTCTAGAGCTGGCACTGGTATAGTTTGCATCATCGTATAGCACACAGAATGCCTTTGTTTCTTTTATTATTATTGCTTCTTCTTCTTCTTCTTCTTCCACTTCTTTGGATACCCTTCACCCATTCTCCACATGACTCCCCTCAAACCCTCCCCTGCTCTTTTCTGTCTCCCTTACACTTCTCGTTTCGGTCAACTTGCAATTTATGCTTCACTTACGGATAGATCATCGCACGCACACGCACAATTCACATTTTGCACTTATATCCACTCTTACGCTCTACTACTTCTCCTTCTGCTTCTTTCTTCTTTTCTTCGTGGCCTATTACACAATACCATGCTTGTTGTTTTAGCGTTTTCTTCACTTAATACTCTCCTGCGTTTTGGAAAAATATCATATATAAAACTCAGCCAGCAATGATCCGGCAAAAATGTTTTCTTCCTCTCTCTCTCTCTCTCTCTCTCTCTCTCTTTTCTTTCTTCTCCTCAAACATGCCAAACGAGAAGGAGTTACTAGAGCATCAGGTAAATTACTGAACATGACATACAAAGTGCTCTGGTAGGCTGCTCATACAACTGCATGGAGTAGCTCCAAGAGTTAAAAGTACTCAACGCCGAGTTGTCAACAGTTCATCCGAAAGCGGTAAGAAAAAAAATAAGCTGTATGGAGTATCACACCATCTTTTCTTTTTTTGGCCCGCTCACATTATGTATATCGATGATGAATCAGCGCTTGTACGAAAGAATGGTCCCTTCGAGTAATGTCTTCTTTCTTGCCAGAGACAAGAACGCCGTGCGATCTGCAGCAAAGCGTAAGTGATAGCTGATGGTAGCAATAGGTGATACATTCAGTTATGTCATAGTATTAATGCAAGGGTGAATTCTACAGACCAACAAGATACCATCACTAGAAACTTGCAGGAATTGAAATAAAATCCGTCTTTTCTTGAAACTTTCGTTGTGATTTACGATTCTCTTTTTTTTTTTTCGCTCCACCATATATAATACTTCTTAAATCACAATAATGGCGGATCCTATCGTGCCTCACAGCGCTCCAATCTCGGCTTACATGAGTGTTCATTCAGGTTACTAAACCTTTTTTTTCCACGGCATGTTCAATGTAATGCGATCCGCTTTCTACCCCTCTCTAATGACACATTTTTTTTCGCTCAAAAAAACAGCCACGAATCTGGCCTATGTACGCTATTTTGCTAAAGTGGAGAATGCTGTATCAGCAACGTTTAAAAACATCAACGCACAAGGCTTTACCGTGTCTTACACGCTACCGGATGACAAAGAAGTACACGACGCATTTATCGAGTTTGATACGCCCCTTACAAAGCGCGAGGAGATTCGCCCTGTACTAGAGAACATGGCCTCAGAGGCAGAATCCGCATTAGGATTGGTAATTAATCACTTAATCACTGGAATTATCTCTCGATACTGCAGGAGGAGGAAGAGGATTTAGTAAATAAGCACCATCTTTTTGTTCTTAGCCGAGCTCATTGACCGGTCCACCACCGCTTAAAGCTATCGCAAAGGCATTTTATGCACAAGCGACCGACATGTACACACCATCAGAACCAGCCGTACCGCTCGATGCATTTTACGCTGCCGATACACATTTTCAGTTATTGATCGCATTTGGCATGGGCACTTTGGGCTTATTGACGTTTTCTACCGATGAATACCTTCTCCGACAGTTCCATCCGGCAGTATTGGATTTCAAGAACTTGTTTGGCGACCGTGTCTTGCATATGATGTGGAACGGTGCAGTGACCGCTCATCTGGTGGAAGGATTATTGGCATTTGGTATCTGCGTACGTCGTGGATGGTATAGTCCTTTAAATATCTGCAAGTGGACGGTTTCAACTACTCTTTTCGGTTTTGCCTCCTTGAGCAAGTTGCTTAAACATGCAAAACGTGTAAAGTCGGAATGAATAAGTAAATTTGTAACGTCCAAAACTCTCAAAAGTCTAGTGATTTAATTCAATGAACGCTTGTGTATATCTGTCATTCTCAAATTTATGCACGATGCGAATAAGGGTCGAGAGCAAGTTCTCTCTATTCTTTTTTTCATGGTGTATTTTGTACTCGCTTATTGGTTGTGTAAGGAGGATAACTTAATAAATACATATAAGAGCAGTACCTTATAAGCTTAAATAGTGCAAGTTAGTGGAAGTTCAAGCCGAGAATAGCTTTATGGGCTCTGTTGGATAGGGACGACCTGTGATAATATTACTAACTGAAGAAGCTTCTCAACGCACCCTTCTTTGCCATCACGGTAGCAACCATGCAAGCTATACTCGCACAAAAGGTAAACAATAAAGTGCGCTGTATGCAGACACAGACATTGAAATTGACATAAGCTTTGGGGCCGCTGAAAACTCCCGTAAACCTGTATCGGTACAATGTATACCCGGTAAAAAAAACATCACATTTTCCCAATATTGCGTTTTCTTGATATTTCGTTACGATACTCAAACCACCTACCTATGACCGTTCGATGGCATGAAAGATCAGAAAAAGAGATATGTTTGGAAAAAGATAATAATAGTTAAATTAAATATGCATGTGTCTATATGGGAGGTGTGTATCTGTGTAAGTGTGAATTGTTGTGTACTGTAGATAAATAGAAATGGAGGTGTTTATATATGGCGTGTATGGCGATTGTAATCGCGTCTCATTCTTGGCAAGCTGCGTCTTCTTCGGAAAGTGATGTTGGCTTTGAGATAGGCATCGACTGCATCGTCATCCAGTGACTGTTGGAATACCTGGTACTGCTCGATGGATACAACACGTTCGTAGTGTGCCGAAGCAGATTCAAAACTTTTCGTTGTTTCTTGTAATTGCGCTATCAATTCTCAGCGGAAGACAAGATGCTTGCAAATCATGTAGCGACTTGATAGATAATTTTTGCAGCCACAAATACAATTATTGTCCGATGGCTGGTAGATAGTCTCGGTTGCTAAATTTTCTGTTCGGCCATACAGCTTTTCCCATACACGGGTAAACATCTGATGCCAACGGGTCGCAGAGCGAGAACGAACAGTATCACGGTTGAACTTGTGACGAAGATCAGGGAAATGTCGCGCAACAATCACGTATACGAGCAAGTCTACTCGTGCTCGGTTGAATTGGTGCAAATAATTACGTTTCAAAACCTTCCAATGCGCTTCAATCAACATTGTTGTTCTTCCTACTGGGATACGGTCCGAAATACTGCTGTGCGCCCATTTTCTCCAAGTAGACGGCTGATATCAATTGCGGTATGGTGCCCGCCACCTAGAAACAACAAGTGGACATTTCAAAAATTTAAGATTCCGCCTTTATAAATTTCCATTTTTAGTTAAGTGATATTTATTCATGCTTTTCATCCAGTGAGTCCTTTCTCAGAGGATCACTTAAATAAACAAACTACTCTCGCATGATTCTTCTTACATGATTATTAGAAACTGACAGTTCTCTTTGAACGCACAAGAAATAAACTTAATTGTATTCTTTGACTCTTGCACAATTTTAAGGTTCTTCTGGTACTTGTTGAGTCTCCCCATTGTATAGAATGTTTTGGAAAAAGAAGGAACAATAAAACTGTCATCCTACTTATAATTTACCTGGCACCATTACAGTCAATGTTGATTGGAAGGCTGAGGTATATATTGCACCAATGCTTACCACTATGTTACACTACCTTCTTAATATGGAAATCGCCGATTCAATGTCATATACTATAGTGTATAGTAGGGTGGACATTCTGACAAAATCCTCTGCTAAATTTTGAAATCGACACCAACTTCAACACTTTATTTCTCATTTTTTTTTGCTCGTATGTATACAAAAACGTTTCATAGAATTATTCTTTGAGCCTCTCTATATCGTTCTATGAAGCCAAAAAAGTGCGTTGTATAAGTGAAAAAAGTTGAAATAAAACATTGAAAATTGGTCCAAAAATTTACGTTTCTAGGTGGCAGGCACCATATTATACTGTATGATGGCCATCTTGATGTTCCTGGTGTGCACATGCAGTATGAGATTTTACGGACTGCGTGTAACCCAATTGAGCATTGATGTTTAATGCGAGGCTATTCAAACAAGAAAAGAGAGGCTCGACTTCTATTGCTTCCCCATCAAAAACACTTTCTTCCATCTCTTCTCCTCGTCCACATAAAGCACTTCTTTCCTCACTCCCACTTCTCTTTTGAGGAACGAACGTCACCAGCAAAGGTAATGACAAGCACTAGCAGACGCGTGACGACGGTGACATGTAGATAAACAATGTACCAACAACACCACCAGAACGATGGCTGTAGCGTCAACAACAGCAGCCGCAACAGCGACAAGAATGAAGAGTTCTTCTTGGACGGTCATCCTAGAGACAATGCAGATGCACCGCCAGAGTACAAAAACGCGTGGACATAGTCGGCGAGAGTCTGCCACTCTCCTAAATGTCACACGCGTCCGTACCTTTATAACGCGCGTAAGAACATTAAGTGTAGTGGAGCTTCTGTAAGCATTTTTCCAATTGCCACTTGGAATTACGGATCGCCGGTATAGCTTCCCAAAAGACAATGCCCCCGTCATGCGCCCTTATCGATAGTCTAGGCTTGTGTAACCTCAGTGTCGAGTAGAAGAAAAGCGCGTCATTATACTTTAACAAGTGGAGACACTTCGTGAGAGCCATGTAGAAAGACAAGACTAGTGTGTACGTGTAGCCTGAAGTGAGCACATTGCAAAGGGGAATGTCTGTGAGGTTGCATTCCGAATGCTTCGGGAGATGACAGACCCATAGTTCGGCGTGTCCAACACTGCTTGTCGGTGTAACATGGCATCACCTGGGCTGGCAAGTGACGCTGTCAATTTTCTTTTTTTCCTTTTTTAGATCAGCTCCCCAAGCTAACAGATAAGATATAAAAGCACTGCATGGAAATAATTTCTGCTACTTTGCTCCTCTCTCTTCCTCTCTCTCTCTCTTTTCTTTGAATCATGAAAATTGTGACCAAGATTTCGAATGCAAAAAAGTGCCCGTGCACAGTGTCGACGAGCATAACGATGAATCGGGATGGCCGCGTCCAAAAGTTTGTCGTCTCAGCCAGGACTACCCGTAGCAGCAGAAGCAGTGGCAGCAGCAGCAGCAGTGGCAGTAGCAGCAGCAGCAGTAGCAGCAGCAGCAGTGGCAGTAGCAGCAGTGGTAGCAGTAGCAGCAGTGACAGTAGCAGCATTGGCAGTAGCAGTAGTAGCGGCAGTAGCAGCAGTGGCAGTAGCAGCAGCAGCAGTGGCAGTAACAGCGGTAGCAGTGGTAGCAGCGGCGGTATGTAGTAGTAATCCCTGATATTGTTGTACATATTGCGTTAATTTCAGGTTCGAAATTGTGTCTACCTTTTTTACAATACAAAACTTATGACTGCAATTTCCATTGATCGGCGAGAAGCATCACAAGAATATATATATATATATATATATTCATGTAAACCGGTGACGTATGCCAAAATATAATAAAAAAGAAGGGCCTCCTTCTACACGATAAAAATATTGCTACATAATCAAAAGACCAGTGCATAGAAAAACTTTGTCTACGTATAAAATTAAATTTGGCTCGTGTTATTGCGATGGACACGTTATGGATGATGCTGTTGCTGCATTGTTGGCGAGGTATAATAGTTGTTGTTGTTTTCTCCTTTAGTAGTGGCGACAGGGTTATCGTCACTGGACATGGCAGCATGGTCCTCCAAAGTCCAAGCATCTTCTTGAATAGGTGGTAAGCTTCACTTATAAAAATCATCACGATCCCCACGTTTCATAAAAGAGATTGTCAAACCGTTATAAATTGCGCTGATGAAATTGGCAGCGGCCGTTTCTTGATCGTCAGCTAAGAAAAGAAGGTCATATCGAGTATCAATAGTATTGCTCGGTACGCTTCACATATAAAAAATCATCATGATCCCCAGGTTTCATACTCTTTTTATATCGCCGGTTCTTTGTTCCATTAAAGCGCACAGACCCGTCGCCGACAATTGTTGGATCAGAGCGGAGCACGGCAAGCGGAGCCGCATAGTGAAACAAACATATACGCACCATAAGAAAAAGACACTAGCATGACAGTCGTCAGACTACAACGATAATTATCATCAAGGCACTTCTTCACATTGCTGCAGTTCACTGGCTCCTTAGGGCAGTAGTGACAACAAAATTTCTAAGCTCCGTCATTTTGTTTATCGGGCTCATGAAAAAAAAGAATCGACTGCGCGTTTTGCCCTTTATTCTTTTCTTTAGTCTTCATATTCATCTTTGTACATTTGCAGTGTTTCTTTCATTATCACTTTTTACCTTTCTTTTATTTTTCATCCCGCTCGAGTGTCCCTGTGGGTGTGCATAGTTGAAGGGAGCTAGTCGTGCACGACTGGCTCTTGCTCATCTTTTGTACATTTGCAGTGTTTCTTTCATTATCACTTTTTACCTTTCATTTATTTTTCATCCCGCTCGAGTGTCCCTGTGGGTGTGCATAGTTGAAGGGAGCTAGTCGTGCACGACTGGCTCTTGCTCATCTTTTGTACATTTGCAAAGTTCTTTGTTTCATCTTGGTTTTTTATCTTCCTCAAAAACTGAAAGCGAGAGTGTGTGCAAAGAGGTACGTATATGTTCGCCGCTGACAGACCTTTGTGCTATTTCTTTTATTTGTAGGAACTGTGGAGGAGTAGGTTCTGTCGGGAACTGAGGCTTGTGGACAAGAAAGGGAGAGGTGTAGGTTCTGCCGGGAACTGAGGCTTGCGGAAAACAAGGGAGGGCAACCTCCCTTGTGGGTACGTATATGTTCGCCGCTGACAGACCTTTGTGCTATCATATTTCTTTTATTTGTAGGAACTGTGGAGGAGTAGGTTCTGTCGGGAACTGAGGCTTGTGGACAAGAAAGGGAAAGGTGTAGGTTCTGCCGGGAACTGAGGCTTGCGGAAAACAAGGGAGGGCAACCTCCCTTGTGGGTACGTATATGTTCGCCGCTGACAGACCTTTGTGCTATCATATTTCTTTTATTTGTAGGAACTGTGGAGGAGTAGGTTCTGTCGGGAACTGAGGCTTGTGGACAAGAAAGGGAAAGGTGTAGGTTCTGCCGGGAACTGAGGCTTGCGGAAAACAAGGGAGGGCAACCTCCCTTGTGGGTACGTATATGTTCGCCGCTGACAGACCTTTGTGCTATCATATTTCTTTTATTTTTGT